TCAATGTTCACGTCCTTGTCGCACATAAACATGGATAGCATCATAAATGATTTTATTAAGATTGGCAAATATTCAAGTCCATTTAAAATATCATAAATTCAGATACCTACATCAGAAGAAAACGAACTTTGCAAAGATGAAAACAATACGAAACTACAGCTACTTGCAATGAATGAGAAAAATATTGCTTCATTACCTTCAGAACAAGGGGAACAGTTTGAAATAGAAAAAAAGTCCAAAAAACTGAAATATGCCAAAAAATCAATACTGATAGATTTTGTTAACATAATGTCAGACAAGAATTAAGAAATGTCTTGAGCAGTTTTGATGAAATATGATAGATGATATAGGCTTTATACATGTTCTGTACCTGTCAATTCTAAATTTAAAAATATTACACAGTATTCTACAGTAAATATCTCTTTTCAAGATAATGGAAAACCAATCTTTCTGAAAGGTGTTTGTATATAAAAATAAGGAGATGGGGTATGATTGCCAAATGAGACAACTATCCACCAAAGTTCAAATGAAGTGGATATATATTATAGGCAACTGTAAGGCCTTCAACAATGAGAAAAACCCATACCGTATAGTCGGCTATATATGGCCCCTATTGATGATAACACATGTTTGTTTCTTAAAGACAGATTAATAAATACATACCCTTCCTCGATTTAAATGACTTTTTAATCATAAAAGAAGGTACAATATCATAACATCAATTTTGTGAAAAGCTGGGAAACTTTAGTGACCCCAACAGATATTTGACACTCTCTAAGTCTTCCCCTTTTTTACGAACCCAAAATTCAAGGATCACTTATCATGCTTATTTTTTAACTATCTAAATGAAAGTTTGTCTTATGGGTAATTTTGTTTTTCACTGTTGTTTCGTTACTGTCTTGTGGACGAATACCTGAAAACTCCGTGTAATCATCAATCATATTAATGTCTATATTTCAGGTAATTCAAACACTTGTTTCTTCGCATAGAAACAAGTCTTCGTTAATCTGAGCATGAAACAAAAACTTATATAATGGACTATAACTGTGGATACAAAAAATGAAAAACTAACCGAAATTGTTAATCCTGCAATGCATGGAAAAATGTGTTGTATTTTAGTAAATAACAAGCATTCTCGGTTGATTGTAAACACGTAGTAGTCCATCATGCATTGTTACTCATTTAGTGGATTGGTCAAAACCCAAGGTAAAAAAAAATTGCGTCAAACGTAATTAAACAATTACATGTGCAAGGACATAAGTATGCTAATTTATGCATATCCATATAAGGTAGTGTTCCCAACCTGCTTAAGACTTAGTAACAAAAGGCAAGCATTTTAATCAGTTGGGCATCATATAAACAATGTTCGACACAAAAACGATTTTAAACTTGATTTTTGATATAAATTCAATTCGTTGGGGAATGTTTCTGCTTTTTATCAGGAGTGCTACTTCCAGTGAATGCAGATGGCATATACCCTATTGGACATTTATCACAAAGGATTATCAACATTTTGGAATAAGCCAATAAAATGCGGTTGAAAGATATTTAAACAGTAGATAATAAAATGCATCGCCGAGCGCAGCTGGATACGACCGCAGAGATCCAACCCTGAACAGTTGGGGCCAAAATGGACACAATATTCGCGCTTGATACAGGTCTGAATTTGGATTGTAATTAAATATTTGACACATAATAGGTTTCTGACACAGAATAACTGTAGTCAAAGAACTTAGAATTGGTTATATGATTTGAATTTATATTCAATTTTTTGCTTTTGTGCAATACACTATGCTGTTGCGAATTGCCCCCCCCCCCTTTTTTTTGCTTTTGTGCAATACATTATGCTATTGCAAATTGACCCCCCCCCCCCAAAAAAAAAAAAAAAAAAAAATTTTCTTGTTAATTTCTGTAATCTGAAATGAGAAAAAATTGTGCTCCCCCTGTTCTTTATAATTGGCTAAATCACAATGATTGCTTATTGCTTGTTTTATGTCCAGCAAAACATATACTGTAATAAATACATAATCAGGACGAGAACAAATAATACAATAAATAATTTGGTTTGTTGATAAAAAGTAGAAAAAAGTATGGACTACCATAGGAAGACAAGGAAAGGTTATTTTCAGCAAAAAAAATAAATAAATTGCTTCGCTGAGCGCAGTTGGATACGACCGCAGAGGTCCAACCCTGAACAGTTGGGTCAAAAATGGACACGATATTTACCCCCCCCCCCCCCCCCCCCCCCCCCCCCCCCCCCATTTTTTGGCAAAAAAAAAAAGTATTTGAAGAAATTTTCTTTTTAATTTCTGAAATCTGAAATGAGAAAAAATTGTCCCCCCTCACAATTTCGTTTTAACCCCCCCCCCCTTTACCCCCAAATTTTTTTTCACCCCCTTTTTCCAAAAAAAAAATCTTTCCCTCAAGATATGGTCATAATCTCAATTCAAATTTCCAATGGAGTTTGCAACCATAATTACCCACTTAAATACATAATAATACATAATAAAAGTATTAAAATAGAAAATGACATACATAATCATGGCTAAAATTAATATTCCTTAATCAGCATTTTTAAATAGTAACTTCTAAAAATAAATTGACATCTCAAGACAATACAACATTTATTTATCCATAATTTAAAAGCAGTGTAAGGGAGGTAATCCAAACATAACATTGTACTTTTTTTTAATTGTCCATTAATCGGGAAACCTTGTTTTTTCCCTCTTTTTTGCCCCTAATTCCTAAACGGTTTGAGCCATAACCCCCCAAAGCCAATCCTAACCATCCCTTTGTGGTATGGAAACTTGTGGTATAATTTCAGAGAGACCCATACACCGTTCCACAAGTTATTGTCAGGAAACTAGAAAAATGCCTATTTGGGCCCCTTTTTGGCCCCTAATTCCTAAACTGTTAGGACTATAACCCCCAAAATCATTCTCAACCTTCCTTTTGTGGTAATAAACCTTGTGTTTAAATTTCATAGATTTCTATTTACATTTACTAAAGTTATTGTCCGGAAACCTAATGTCTTCGTATAAAAATGTGCGAGGACAATGATGTTATGTACAGTGCTGTTTAAAATGTGGTGAGGAGCTGTGCAAAGACTAAACGGGCTGTCCTTAATAAACATTTTGAAAACTGCTTTAAAAATATGTTGTTTTTTAGGTGATAAAAATGATGAAGAAGACACTTTGGCACCCAAAAAACATTAGAAAACAAAAGCAGACAACAGCATGGATAAAAAAAAAATGCAAAGGACTAACAACAGTCAAGACATCTCTACACAAAAATCGAAAAAATTGAGGAATACCAACCCCTCATAAAACAGGGGACAATCTCAGGTGCTCAAGAAGGGTCAGCTGCCTAGGTACTATTGTTTAAATAGCTCGATGAGACATATACAGTATCACCAAATTTAAAACATGTTGGTATATATAAAGTATCTATAATTTGACCAAATGTGAAAGTTTGAAAGGAAATAAGGTTTTCCATGCCTGTACGATGGATAAACACGACTTTCACTGGTTGACAACACAGACATTGAAAAATAAAGAACAAATAACACAAAACTGACAGCATAAACAACATGAGTCCCTTCTTTTCATCACAACTAGGGGTCAATGTAGGTGTTCCAGAAGGGTGTGTAGTTTCTTGCCAATTGTTAGCACGAGTGTTGTTACTCATCATTGCAAGTAGAAAAATCGGTGATGGGTCGGTACGATCATCCTGATCCACAGTCGAGGAAAAAGAAAGGATTATGGCAAGGAGAAATGGAACATATAATATATAATTTGTGACTCAGATGGTAAACAGTCAAACAAATTCTTAAGGCGTCATAAAAACTTTCGAATATTTCCATTTATGGGATCTTTGATTAAATTGTCTAGCAAGCAGCATCGATGTTTCATGCATGGAAACATAATCCCTAGAATATCGTATGAACTGCCAAGTGCAATACGATGAAAGAAATGAAATATCAGCAGAGCCTTGTCTTAGTAAAGTACATTTTCACTTTTTGGTGGCCATTTTGAAATTTTCCGCCATTTTTAAAAACAATTTTAAAGTTTAATATACTGCCATGACCAATTAGAAACGTTAAGATTACATTTGATATGCCTTTAAAAGATTTGATTGAGTGGGTCCATAGCTTAAATTGACTACCATATATAGATGTACGATTGTGTAAAGTTTCATACTTTTATCATCAAACCCATAATTCTTCTAAAAATTTGCACGAATCAGCTGCACTAAACAAGGAGAATCTTTATAAAACAAATATCCCTGATAATAATTAATCACATTTCCTTTTTATAAATTGCCTCATTATCATGAATAACTGCCAGTTTATACTTTCTTAACTAAAACCTTCAACTCCTTAATTTAAGAAATTATTCCTCACAAAATTATATAGAATGTTGACAACTTGCAAGAACATGGCTATAACATGAATGGTTTCTGGTTTAAAGATGATATTTGAAATAAAGACAATTTTCTAAAAAAAAGATTGATTGATTGATTGTTGGTTGCTTAACGTCCCTAAAAAAAAAGAGGAGAAGTTCTTATTGTAGATCAATTCATTTTAATGAGTACCAATTTCATAGAAGTTTAACATTGCAGAAAAGAAGAATATAAAAACAAATATAAACAAATACTGTGGACAACACAAAGTAAAATCATTGCTTTGATGGAAACCTAGTCTCATTATGATCTAAAGTTGGAGGAGGGATCAGGGTCATATATTACTTTTTTTTTTGAAAATTTTGTTAAAAAGTCATGTAAAAAATACAGAAAACAAAGCCGGAACACACCCCTTTCCCAAAGCATAATTTCTCATCTTTTTAAAAATTACCCCTTTTTTGATGTTTCCTATCAAATCAATACAAATACAGATGAATTCAAACGATGTTTAACTTTCTCTTTGAATCTATGAAAGTGTCAACCATAGTATATAAAGTTTGAGAAATAATAAATTTAAAACTGTGTTAAGTACAACTTACTATTATTATCTACTGGTGTTGGAGAAGGTGTTGGCGTCAATCCAGTGTTTGCTACTAGGCTTACTTCAGGTTTACCGCCCTTACCAGTTGTGGGTGATGGTGTTGGAATTCCAGGTGGTGTAAATTGTGGTACTACAACTGTTAAGGTGTATAATTAATCTTTTGGATCATCAATTTCGAACAAAATATATGAATGTTATTTGATAAACATAACGCATATGATATTTAAATTAAAGGTATGGCAAACACTTATTTTACAGACAAAAAAATACAGATAATATACTAGAACAAAAAAAAAGATTGACAATTATAAGGATGTCAGACATACCACAATTAACTTCGTCTGTGTCACAGTCAATGATTCCATCACAGCGAGAGGCTTTTGGTATACACCTGGTGTTACCACAACGGTACTCGTTATCAGCACATGTCTTACATGTACATTCACAGGATGTTACATTCACATATTTAGTTTCTGCCTATGAAATGAAAAAAGGAATAAGTCCATTCCATATATATAAACAGGTATGAATTTTTCTAACATAGCATTTGTATGGAAATAGAAAGCTATAAAACAAATTTTAACCCACCGTTTTCTTTGTAAAATGCCTATACCAAGTCAGTAATATGACAGTTGTTTTTCTCATGTTCCATTGCTAGATAATGTTTGAATTTTTCAATTTTTATGAACTTTCTGAATTTAACTTGGAGTTCAGTACTTTTGTTATACTTTTTTTTTAATCTGCTTGAGAATAAAAACAACTTCATTGATGTGTTGATTTTTCTTAAAAACAATTTCTATATATAGACATCTCCATCATATCTATGTATTGTATAAGTATGCACTCATCATTGAAGACCATATAGTTAGCTATATATACTAGTATAGTTTATTTTTATTGTATGCATTTGTATATTTACCCTAGATGTCTTTATTATTATTAAACATATACAAGGAATACTATAAAAAATAATACAAAACTGAAAAAAATAACTTACAGGTTGACAAGGAGGACAAGATTTGGGCATACATTTGTTTTCTCCATTAATGCATTGGCATGTAGCACACTGTCTTCCTTGTGTAATGCCTCCAGGCTGCAATATACAAAACTTAAAAGACAGGCTTGCCACGGCAAACAATTCTAAGGTTTATATCATTAATAAAGTAATTTACAGCACTGAAAATAATCTTAATTCAAAAGTAGGTTCTAATATCTTCAATAACTTGATTACAAATTAATATTAGAACTAATAAAAGTGTTTAATCATTGTTGAAGTATGATTAAATGACAAAATTTTCTATCTCATAATATCCATAGCTCAGATAAAGACTATAAGAAGGCATGCTTTCATTATCAGATAAAGCACTTTGAGCATGCTTTCAGTAATCACAAGCATTCTTTTATGTCGTATCATATAGCATTGTTTTTATATTGTTGCAGTACTAACAAGAAGTTGCAAAGTATACCACCTACTGTTATTTGAAATTGTCCAAAAATTCCAAGCTTAGTGGGTATAATAAAAATTTCAAAGTATTATGAAACAGGAAATGACTGGCTGGCAGATTCGAAATTTGCTTACACAGGTCAACAACATTATTAAGTTCCAAACCAAATATCAATTCATTCCTTATTACAGAAGCTAACTAAGACGTAAAGCCATTATGGGCAGATGAACAGACAGATTGACAGACAGTAGGATTTCAGTATACATGTACTACCCACTCAGTAAGTAGGAGTATAATAAAAACTTAATGAGCTAGTTTTGGTTAAATTTTTATTGTGCATGTTTACAGTCTCTTTTTCCTTCAAAATAATAGGGGAAGATTTGAGTACTGTAAAGACTAGTTTTACCTTACAACATTTCAGCAAATATTGACAACCATTGAATTACAGACTCCTGTTTTGGGATAGGCACATAAAGAATCAGGCTTGGTTTAAATGTTTAGAGAGTGCTTAGACCTCCCTAGGACAGTGATGTAACAGCACAACATATGAACCAACTGTAAAACTTAGTTGAAAATGGCTTGACCCATCAATTTGGCAATGACGTACAAAAACATTTAACATAAAGACAAACAGCACAAAATACCTATCTAAGAGTACTCACAGTTACTGAAAACTAGTTCAAAGCTAATTGCAACTAATAAACAAGCATTCTGTGAGTACTGCCTGGCAATACATAGTCCCCTATCGGTTAAAAATTCATTGTACTGGAACAGAATGCTAACTTGATCTATAACTTGTCATGGTGTAAACTATATAACAAATATCAAGTCAATATATTCATGCATGATGAAAAAAAATGTGGAAAATTGATTATTTGAATGAATTTTCTAAGTCCAAGGACCATAACTCTGCACAAAATAATCAGACCGGAACAAAATTCTTACTTGATCTGTAATTTGTCATGATAAAACTATACACCACTTTTCAAATTAATACCTTCAAGTATGACGAAAAAAAGTGTGGAAAACTGATTATTTGAGTGAATTTTCTAAGTCCAAGGACCATAACTCTGCACAAAATCATCAGACCGGAACAAAATTGGAACTTGATCTGTAACTTGTCATGTTTAAACAATACACCAAATTCAAAAAAAAAATATCTTCAAGCATGAAGAAAAAAAGTGTGGAAAACTGATTTGCCGGACTGACGGATGGACAGACAGACAGACAGACAGACAGACAGACGGACAGAGTGCAAACCTAAAGTCCCCTTTGACTATGTCTGTAGGGGACTAATAAATCATGCTTTCCAAGACTTAAATATCAATCAGTACACATCCCATGGATTTAGCGTAAAGATATCATAAATAGTCTAAGAAATGCATGACCTTGTGCAATTGTATTGACAGGATGACCTTTAAGTTTTCATAACTGTATAGCAAAGCTGATAATCTGGTAAATTTTTGTACTTGTCTCATTATTTATTGAATAACTAATCCAAGAATTCAAATATTGAATAATATTCAATGAGCTACCTAACAACACATTAATTCACGAATGTGCGTAACGCATGTGTTAATAATTAACAGTGTTGTTCGGTCACAAGTTGAATGTTTTTCGATATTTTAATTCTTTGATTAGTTATTCTTAATATTTAACATTGACCATGAACATTTTAATGGAAATAAAGTAAAAAAAAATGAAAGGAACTATATTTTTTCTACGCATTCTCAATTGTATTGATGCAACGTCATCGACAACATCTTGACAACACCCATTGTTGTATGATATAAATAAAATTGAGAATGGAAACAGGGAATGCGTCAAAGAGACAACAACTCGACCAAAGAGCAGAAAACAGCCCAAGGCCACCAATGGGTCTTCAACACAGTGAGAAAATCCCGCACCAGGAGGCGGGCTTCAGCTGGCCCCTAAACAATAATGTATAATAGTTCAGCTAATTGACACTTAACTCAGAAACATATAAATGAAGGAAAATTAAAAAAAACATACAAGACTAACAAAGGCCAGAGGTTCAAAGAGTGAAGATGTCAGAGGAGTGAAATTATTAAATTGATTACACCTGTGATATTATCGGTTTTCATTTCACTGGAATATCAAGGTTATTCATTGCAACCAAAATAATAAATCTTTTTTGTCTATTGGGACTTTGATGATGGTTAAAATATTTGGTCTTCGCTGTTAAATTCATTCACAGCTTGCCAAAACTGGAGCCCAATTAGAGCTTGCAATATGGTGTGGGCACTTTTATAACTTAAACATGCGCTGACCTCTAGATGTATTTTGCTTTAATAATAACTTGTGGTATTGTTTCATTGGAGATTAATCTACATCTACTTTTATTTATATAAGTACTACAGTGCTTAAAATGGATAACAAAACATTGATAATTTTTACTTCTAGTGTAAACAAACTTTTTATTCCTTTATTCATACTTCAAAAATTCAACATCTGTACTCATCACTTTTCCAATTAAATTTCAGCAATTCCAAATGTAACTTTTTCAATGTCAATACTAAGGAACATTTTGAGTCTGCATGCAAATTCCCACAGCATGATTGGTCACATGGAGTTACTTACCCTGACAATCTTTCCTTCAATCTTACAAGTACATTCTGATTTCTGTACACAGTGCAGTCCATCACAGAACTGTCCTTCAGGACAGGAAATAGGACAATTTATTGTGGTCATATCTTCATAACATTTGGCCACTCTCTTAGACTGTGTTACAGTAGCCACTTTGGTATATTTATGGAGACTAGATGGCACTGTACTTATTTTTGGTGGTACTGTTGTAAAATGAAAAAAAAACATGTTTTCATTCATTGTCTATCTAATCAAAATATCTATTCTTATACAGCTATATATCTGAGCATAATAGAAATGGACATTTATGAGATGTGATAGCAAAATAAACACATAGCCATACCTGCAAAGTGAAATGATTTTAGCAAAAGATTTCAAATATAACCTATTTGATATATTGTTGTCTACAATATCTTTTACTTCTTCCTTTAGTTAAATCATTAATCTTTCAAAAATTCTTACAACTACAACATTATAATTAATCAATGAATCAGTTAGCTAAATAATGTGGGCAGTAGTTTCAAGACCATATTGATTGAGAAAACAAGTTTTGATGATAATTCATTATATTTTTTTAGGGGGTATGCAACCTCTGAAAATGAGGAAGAACAAGAATGTGTCCATAGTACACGGATGCCCCACTCGCATTGTTATTTTCTATGTTCAGTGGACTATGAAATTGGGGTCAAAACTCTTAATTTGGCATTAAAATTAGAAAGATCATATCATAGGGAACATGTGTACTAAGTTTCAAGTTGACAGGACATCAACTTCATCAAAAACTACCTTGACCAAAAACTTTTACCTGAAAAACATAATGCCCCTAGGTGGGGCATAAAAATTCAGGTCATAACCAGGGGCCACTCTGGCTCAAAAAAAGTTGGAGCCAGAAAAATCGCCATCTGCTATATTTTGTCGCCAGTTTTTAAAAACTTAGAGCCAACTTTAGAGCCAGCTAGAGTCTTGATTTCCTCTACCAAAATTGAAACCATGTTCAATTTAAATTTCTTATGCACTGTACATCATTTAACATGATAGATTAAGGTAGTTATTGCATAGGGTTCATATACATGAAAAAAAAACTATGTGTACTTTTATTTTCTTTGTCAGTATTTCATAAGTATACGAATAAAAATTTAACAATAAAGATTAAATCAAAGCAGCTGTTTTTCCACAAAACAGCATATTGTATGTTTTTATTTGAATGTTTATGTCTCCAAACAGTGACTTATATAATGACTATTGATGAATGTTCCTGTCCTTATAATTAGCTTATGGTCTGTATATGCTACAGAAACATGAGAAAAGAGAAAATGTTTTTAATTTAAAAAATAAAGAATAGAAAAAAATGGGCAATTAATTGAAGAAAGAGAATAATTGGTATTTAGAAATATAGAATACAGAAAATTTGTATAAAAGATAAAGAATACAGAAAATGATGACCTAAGCACCCTACCCATCCTGCTACCAAGACCCTCTTAACTTTGCCCATAACTCAAAAGACCTCCGAAACCTATAAATTCTAAAGTCAGAAGTATGTAGACATATTTTGAGTAGGTATCTCAATACTAGGAAAAAATAAAATTGAGTTATCTTTCTTTATTCGGGTGTTCTTCTTCTTCGGAAGATTATACACAGTACGCAGTAGCAGTAAATACGATCAACAATGGCAGCCGTTTAAAAATTGTTATTTTCGTATCAAAAGTGAAGGCAGGCAAAGACAAATTACGTCTGAATTTACCATTTTTTACGGAATATAAGTAAAACAATGTTTTTTAACAAGCTTATTATTATTTTCATACGGCAACACAATTTGCAATGTTTACCGTAGTTTCATGAAGAATTTAAAACGTAATTGACAGAAAGACAATATTTTCGTCTTTCTGTCAATTACGTTTTCTTCATGAAACTACGATAAATTTCTTCAAATGAAATGACAAAATGCCGACTGAACAATTCTATTTGAATCTGATCATTAATGACCCATCCGATAAACGGATTACCTATAACAACAGATTATGACACCTGTTGTAACCGTTGATTAGCTTGGGGTTGTAAACAAAGTCATTAACTTGTCGCCAGGTAAAATTTCGTACAATTAATTTTTGTACTTTTACCAAGATCGATAATTTTACCGTTACAGTCAAGAAAAATTTTGACATAGGAAAATGTTGGTGCCAGAAATATCACCAGCAGCCGTATTTTGTCACCAGATCAAATAAAAAATTGCAATTTGCAACATTGGCGAAGCCCAGCGCGGTCCCTGATAACTCGTACTAACCTTTTCAGTTGAATTTTAGTATTCAGAGGATTTTTTTAATATTCTTTAACATATACGAGTTTCCTACATTAATATTCACAATTGTGAAGTATATATTTTGCTGAATATTATTAAAATTTCAATTCATGTTTGTATTTTAAAGGGAAACTCCGCAAAAAAATGAAAAATTGATATTTTGTTCTTTAAGCATAAAAAACCACATGGTTATAAATAAAAACTTTTATTCTCTATGAAAAGAGATCAAAATCGATTTTGAAATTCACTATCAGTTCTCGACATATCGCCATCTTGTCGACATGTTCGATCTAAAAAGTCACGTGATATCTAAAAACCACAAATACCAAAATGAATCAGGGATTTACCGACCGTGCGTTAAAAACTCCCATCATCAATCGGGGATTACCGTAGACGATCACTCAGTGTGAAAATGTCTTGTCAAGCGTTCGGCTGTTCTGTCCGACAAGGTTATGACAAAAGTCTAAATAGTTTTCCCAAACCCACAAAAAAAGAAAGAATTGTATCAGACATGTTTGTACAACCTTAAACCATGGAAGTATTATATTATCAATATAATACTTCCATGCTTAAACTAACAGCAAATAGTTACATCTATAGCAAGCACAAGTTGATGTGTTGAAGACCATTTTGAACAATCTTGTTTCGAGGGAGATTTGGTGGTAATTATACTTTTTTAAATAACAATATAACCTAGCAGTTCTGATAGCTATAGTTATCAAATCCGTATATGATAAGACTCGTTGATTTGATGAGGAAGAAAAGTTTCAATTATAAGAAAGAAAAATGCCGTATTCTTGTAACAATCACTGATTTACAAAAGATTCATTAGTATGCCTCTTTTATATAAAGTGCATTGATTTATATAAAGAATAGTTCCGTATTTAGATAAGATAATTTTTCAAATTAATAAAGTTATACGATAAATAACAAATTTTAATTATGATATTTAACGGCTATTGACAAGGAGCAACGTTAGGAAGAGGTTTTAGCTAAGACAAAATATGTTGATATAGTATAATATTCCCAGGTTATAGAAATGTTAACATCGAAAAATTGGACATCTCAATTTTTTATCAAAAGTCTTTTTTTAATTTTATTTACGTTATCTTATTATATATATATATATATATACATATTGGCTTCCTCTCGAATTGATAATAGGTATGTCAGAATTATTGATAGATGTCGTGTCAGAACGACACATTCAGTTAGTTATCCCAAGGACGTATATTAGATAAACGTCCTTGTGTATTCCAGTGACATCCTGTCGACTAAAAATTCGTATTACACAATTATATAACACAGGTTCATGCATGGATTATTTACAGAGGTACCCGGCGTGCACAGGTAACATTTATTGAACCACATATATTTGTGTTCGACGTTGCTTATCTTGTGCGTGTTTGAAATTATAATTCCACCTGTCCTGTTAATGAATGATGTTCTGATAATAATATTATCCACTATTTTTTTCTGATAATAAGTTTTAAAATTTTATAAACATGACCTTATTTTTTGTGAAATAAATACTGTTTTGTCATGATTCTGGACCCTTCTTTTGAAAAAAAAAAATTCTTCACGCAAATACAAGCTTTTGACGATTGGCAAACATGCAGATGTAAAGTAATGCAGCACTTATAGTCAGTATCAATATTTATTCATTGAAGATAAGAGAGCTCCTTCTATGTCTAATGTCCCTATCTTTATAAGGATTAGAACGACAGTGGAAATAGTCATTGTAAAGGAGCGGAGATAGAGTGGCATTGTGAAAAAAAATTAACCGAGATTAATAGAGAACAATATACTATATAGAGAATGATCGACGAAAAGGGTAATAGTAATTGTAAAGGAAAAGAGATAAAGAGAGGCATAGTAAAAAAAAATGTTGGTTAGACAAAGTTACTGCTCGTTTGATATTTTTAGTTATACAAAATCACACATCGTGTTCCAAATTGGTATTCACGTGCAATAACTTGATGCATAGAATGGTTAAAAATATTTATAAGTATCCCATTCGTTATATCGTAGTGTCACTGTGTTTCTTTGTTCAATTTCTTTGTTCAATTTATTTAGTTTGTTAATGATTATGTAAATAAAAATAGATCTGTATAATAACTGCATACCCGTTTAGTTATTGCCTGTAGGCGTTTGATTATTGTTACATTTAATATATATATAGAACCTTTCATACATCTTAAAGTAAAAGATGTGTCAGTCTGATTCAAACGACATGAGAAGCCTGTAATACTACTACGACTCGAATACAGCATGTAAAAATTCCTACTCAATATGGTTGTATTGGAAATCTTTTCATACAGATAGATAACTCATGATCCGACATTCATGTAATACTTGCCACATGACGCTCATATTTCTTTCTACCATCATCATCTTATTCATTAAATATTGCTGTAAACATCTATGGTTCACACCCAAACAAAATGGGAATAATATACCTTTAGAGCTTCTTCGTGGTATACACTTGTGAAATATATAGACGAAATTCGTTATTAAAGTGAATCTTCATCTCACAAACACAATTTTTGAATTACGATTTTGAGTGAACACCCATCAAACCATTACAAAATGACAAGATATAACCATGCAGGCATTTAGTTTTCGTCAGACACAAGTTAGATAATCACTCTCATAAACGTATATATGCATGCAGTTTCAAATATCAAGAACAAGCGGTCAATGTCTATAGATCATTGTTAAGTCGGGTTACTAGCTGTTCAGAGTCAGACATGTCACTTGTACATTCTTGGCCTTCTTATACCCCATCCGACAATGGGAACTCTTTTCTGATAGTGTTGACAACATAAGCTTGTATGGTGATTCTGTTTATCTTTACCAGTGGTTGGCCTCTCCTGCCCCAAAAAAACAAACTAACGAAACGCTATTAGTCTGCTTTGTCTGTTAGAAAGAACCTCTGGCGCTTATACGTAAGAAAACTTACAAGTCTACTAGTAAAGATTGTTTCAAGAACAACGAGGTTGGGACGAACTGTTCTAAAATCGTCAATATCAGTTATACATTACTAAGATATGCCTTTTATTACAACTACTGTATTTCTTATTTGGATTAATGACGGCTATCCTGTTTGTTTAATATTGCACAAAATTATCATAGAATATAAAAAAAAACTTGTTAAAAAAAATCCTCAAGCAAAATAATGTATTTGCTTAGATTTATAATGTATGTATATCCATTAATGAAATAAATGATTTTTTTTACAAATAATTCGTTTAAGTGATTGGCAGATTAACTTAATTATGAAGAATGAAATGTGAAAAAGAAAATTTAAAAATCACGCATGTTGTACTGTTGTATTTTTTTTTTTTCAATTAAAAACTGAAAAATTAAGATAGTTTTACGATTGTTAGCATTTAAATACAAGTTAAAGAATTCAGGTAAAGTAAATTAAATAGATGTGCAATTATTATTAATTGGGAAATGCAACATTTAATTTTTAAGATTAAAAGTACCAAGTATTCTTTTAAATTCATATTTTAATTTTATGCAAATTGCATAGAACGTAATCGAAAATTGTTCCACTGTAATATTGTATACACTTCCGGAATTGAAAAAAAAATTGAATGTTTATTTTCAATTAATTTATACAATTTAATTATTGTTTCTCTATTGTCATCGGATATTTCATCTTGGTGTATTAAACACGATATACTCTTTCTGTTAATCCATTCAAACTGACAACATACACACCTGTGTAAGCTTGAATTCACACCTGTGTACGCCTGAGCCTAAATTGCTGCAAGGTAAAGTTCAAAGGAATTCTCCTCAAATCGAGAAATAAACAATGACTTTACAAAGTAATATACACGTTCTGGTCACATATATTTTGCATTGAAATTGTTATCAAAGTTATAATGGTAAATAAAACGTTAAATATTTCAGTTCAATATCAGTAAAAATGTTCAATAGATATTTTATGAAACAACCTCAACAAAAATTTATGAAATTAATTCGAAAATATTTATATTTAGATAATTTCACATAGGAAGTTTTATTCAATCAATACAAAACGGTTAACGCATATTCATTTTCTTTCATTCTTATATTGTGGTTATTAACTACGACCAACGATCATCTGTGCGCTTTTAATTATGTTTAATTCTGATAAGCAATTAAGACTTTAACAGATTTTATTTTTTCCCATGATTCAACAAATCGGGTTAAAACGTCACAACCCAGTGACGTAGGTCAACCAAAAAAGTTACAAATACTTGATTTTCTCCGTTATTAGAAAGAATATAAATTTAAAACTTTGTGAATGTGTTTTTTATGTTAAGATGAACATATTTAGATGATAAGTAAAAAATCGCGGACTTTCCCTTTAACTTCATTACAGTATTTGTTGAATATTTATTATTAATCAAATATTAATATAAAGTAATGCTCTCTCTCTAATTGTTTCATTCACACTATCTTTTATTAATGAATTTTGTAAACCCCAATTATGATAAGAAATCAGCTATAGCTAATGTGCTCCTATACATAGGAGGAAGATAATGAGAAAGAAGAATTTACTGTTGTTTACATTATGTGCATTCCAAGGTAGACCCCATGGGTTTTTATAATAAGTGACAACAAAATAATTGGTAGAAATAGTTAATGGACCTTTATCTCTCCAACAGATATGTGTAAAGAGGTTCATATTGCTTTAAAATTATTTTTCATAAATCAGGACATAAAATTGTATGTCAAGTTGACTGGCTTAAATTCAACATTACTTGGGTAAAACTAATGAGTTAATTAGATAATTGTTATTACTTTTCAATCAAAAGAGTGTCAAAATTATGTTTTGATAGCTGTAAATCATTCAAGAAAGGGCAAGATATCGAACTTCCTGTCCAGGAAAAATTCCGAATTTGTAGTTTTTCAGAGGAAAATTTAGCATTTTAGACATTGGAAGTCTTATTCATCAAAATACGGGTGAAAATGGGTCATTTGATAAATTCCAAGGTTATTTGATGACCCGTTCAGGTATTGAAAAATTTCGGGTGAGCGTGTAAATTCATAGGTCATACCCACAAAATACTGGTCAGTTGAAAGTTTAAAAGGATACTTCCTTTTACCAAAAGATTAAAAGATACAAATGTTGAATATTATATATGTCAGACTTAATAATATATTTTAACCCAGTATTAATACTATAAAAGAAACAGTTGATCTGATTTTAATGTTTTTTAAACAATAGAAAAGTGTACATTGCAGTGTATATTAACCTTAAAACATTCATTATTACAAATAAAAAAGACTTATATCTGCATTGTTATTTTTATGTGACTGCTCACAAAACCCAACTGCCATTTCTAAAATCTTTCCTAAAGCTTTCATGGCTTTTCTTTGCAACCATGGTTCAAAATGAGACTTTGAACTTGGTGGTGTCTTGGGTGAAAATTTTTTAATACAAAATTGTGTTTTAATAACTTAAGGATGTACACCTCTGAGGAGCCAAAAATTTCTAGAATTAATCTTTTTTTCTTATCCTGATTTTTGGGTTTATATGACTGTAAAAAAATAATTGATGAAGAAAAATTCATATGGTGGTGCACTTCTTTTTTTGCTAAAACCATTTGAAAGTACCCAATTTTGATGATTTTCCCATTTTTCATCAATTTTTACCCATTTTTGGGCTATTATCATGAAAAAAAAAATCACAGTTTCACAATTAAACTTTTTTCATACTTTCACTAAAGATGAAGTGGACCATATTTGTTTTTCGTTCATTTTTTTGGTACATAAATTAGGCCGTTAGTTTTCTCGTTTGAATTGTTTTACATTGTCATTTCGGGGCCTTTTATAGCTGACTGTGCGGTATGAGCTTTGCTCATTGTTGAAGGGCGTACGGTTACCTATAGTTGTTAATGTCTGTGTCATTTGGTCTCTTGTGGAGAGTTGTCTCATTGGTAATCATACCACATCATCTTTTTTTTATATATACAATCTGAATAAATTTAACTGAAAACAAGCATTCTGTGAGTATTGCCTGGCAATACATAGTCTCCTACCGGTTAAAAATTCATTGTACTGAAACAAAATGCTAACTTGATTTATAACTTGTCATGGTGTTAACTATATAAAAAATATCAAGCATGACGAAAACAAATGTGGAAAATTGATTATTTGAGTGAATTTTCTAAAGTCCAAGGACCATAACTCTGCACAAAATCGTCAGGCCGGAACAAAATTCAATCTTGATCTGTAACTTGTCATGATAAAACAATATACCAAATATCAAATCAATATCTTCAAGCACGAAGAAAAAAAGTAAAAGTGTGGAAAACTGATTTGCCGGACTGACGGATGGATGGACAGACAGACGGACAGAGTGCAAACCTAAAGTCCCCTTCGACTTGGTCGGTAGGGGACTAAAATTTAGGGTAGGTGTTAATGTAAGAAAGTTTTATAAAATTGTGTTGCTTTTTTGTGTCAAATTTACAATGTTGTCAATTTTGTAAATTTGGGATTTTTCTCTTTTTTTAGAACAAAAAGCATATTATTTCAACTTCTTTGTTATAAATGATTGAAAAGATACATTTCTAAGAAATTTGAAAAGATAAAACTGATATGGGATGTACATGTATCTGGTAAAATCATTTCTTGTACCCCTCACCCATTTTCTCAACATTTTGGCTAATGAGACTGACTTGATTGGTTATAAAATTTGAAAACTGTATTACTCAAAAACTACTTATTGTAAATACACAATTTTTTCACAGAGTTAAGTTTGATTATAATATTTTTAAAATTCATTGATATTTTCCACTTGTATCACATGTTTTGGAAATAGTTCCAGAACGAGATTTCAACGAGACTGAAACGTCAGAAGAATACATCCTTAACATAAAGCATATAAACAGAAACTAAAGTTCTCTCTATTTTTTAAGGTAGTGCTCAACCAAATATTTCTAATCAAATGATTGTTTAAATACTACTCACTACATTCAGTGGTCTGTTTCAAGCAGGCTAGTCTGACCTTGTAGTCAGCACACCCATTTTGCTCAATCTGGTTCATATTGTCGCATTGTAATCCACTCCAGAGGTTACAGGAAATGATTTGTCCAAGGTCATCGGCTGTGGAACCAGTAGCTGTTCGGCATTCAATCTTCATAGGATTAGTGCAAATCTGTGAGTGTTTCTTCACTTCAGCAATAGGTTCTGAATCACCACTGGCATCTGGTGTGTGCATATTAACCCAGTTATCCCACTGTGTACATTTCTCAACTGAAATAAATACAATGATTTGATTTCTCAAGTAAAATCAATACAAGTAATTTTTTAACAAAGCTTTTTCTCTTTTCTTTAAAACTTGAACTTGTATTTTTAAAAAGGTGTGGATTCCCAAATGTAGCCCCTACCTGGAGCTAAATTTTAAATTTGGATGGATTTAATGTCCATTATCACAAAGTATTACAGTTAAAACAATGAATGACTAGATAGAAAGTATATTCATTTTTTCCAAAGTTTACATATCAGAGTTCTGTATGTGACATAAAATTAGCATGATGTTGATTCATTATTATTCATGGGTGCCAATTTTCACAGATTTTGTGGATAAGGTAAACCATGAATTTAAATGTTATGTACACATTTTCTATAAGCTGATATACAGACTTTGGCAAAACCATAAAATAAAATATCCACAAAAATACAGTTTTTCCTCTTTCAACAAAACTAGTAACCACGAAAATAAATGAATCCACAGTAGATATCAATTTCTACCAACAGGCCAACTTCCATTGCTTTGTAAGGAAGGAAATATACAGCAAACATGCCCACAAAGAAGATCTTTGTAAATTAACATTATGTTTGTTGTGACAAATAATTTTTCTTGACATAAATCATTCCATTTCACTTTCTCAAATGTTTATACATCAACTTGAATCACTTTTCATTTTGAAATAATGGACTTGATAATTGGCTCCAAATAAGGTCCTTACTGCGCCTATTCTTTTGTCTTTTTAACATAATTACAACTGCTTCAATTTTAAAATGCAGACACTTTATGCTATCATTTCTGCTAAGAAAAATACCAAAACTAGAAGTACTCAGAGCAAACCTCACAAAATGATACGCCACCCCTTGCCAAGTCCATAATTTGCTACGGAAAACCCAAAATATTATTCTGTTTTAAAAACAAATAATAGGAGGTAATCAATAGCACTATATGATTGAGATTGTGAGAAAGTTTCAATAAATCAAAAAACAGGCTTTAGGAAGAGTTGAGGATTCTAAATCAGTACCACCCAAATAAAGAAATGGAAAAGTCCATGCATTAGTAAGGGAAATCTCAAAAATAATTCTGATAAAAAAACAAAATAGGACAATAGATTAATATGGTTAAGATTGTCAGCAAATTTCAATAATAAGGGGTTTAGGAAAAATGGCAAATACAAAATGGGTACCCTTCAAATAAAACAATGGCCCAGCAAAGTCTTGGAAACCCTAAAAAATAATTCTGACCAAAAACCAAAAGCTAATAAAAAGGAAACAACCCGTCTCTTGCAAAGTCCATGGTTTACTAAGGGAAACCCCAACTATGATTCTGTCAAAAAAAAACCCAATCAAAGTGCTTGTGAGCACTGAGGGTAAAGATTGCTTTCATTTTGCAATTTTGTGAATTTTTAAATAAAACATTGAATTGTATTTTGGTAGGCAAGTTTAAACTTTGAGTTGGAGTTATCTTCCTTTGGTCATGATTGTACATTTGTAGTTGAACCTATTTTTATAACAGATTCATACACCATGCACTACTTATGTAATTTCAGATAAAAACATTTTTTCTTGACAAGTATGATAATTTAAATACACATCATATTGTAAATAAAATATAAAAGTATAACATATCATCAAAAAATTGACATTGACTGGATAGGATCTAATAATGATCACTTCACTGCACTATTTTGTGTGAACTATCAAAGGTAGTGATCAACCTTGGGAGATATAGATATCAAGTCAGTACTATCGGGTTTTGATTGCATTTCATGCAATCTTTACCCAAAAATTGGATGTGCACTGAATGGCATTATATGTTTAAGATTGCGAGAAAGTTTCAATAAATTATAAAAGGTTTTGGAGGAGTTGTGACTACAAATTGAGTATTCCACAAACAAAGCAATGGTAAAGTCAATGATTATTAAGGGAAACCCCAAAAATAATTCTGACCGAAAAACAAGATAGGTCACAATAGCCTTAATAGCCCTTATATAATAGAGATTCTGAGACAATTTATCAAAATTTGATTAGGGGTTTAGAAGGAGAGTCAGGTACACATGTGTACTGTAGAGTGCAAAAATCCTTCAGATGAAGAAATGAAATAAATATGAAGCGCAAACTACCTCATGTCAGTAAAATCGTTGAAAGTTTAACAAAATTCTGCTAAGTGGTGTAGGAGCAGCTGTAGATACAAATTAACAGACTTCCCCATCAATATATAACACCTGTTTTAATAAACTGTTAACACAGAGATATGTCTCGCCTATTTGTTATTTTGCTTTAACATGTAAGTTATGCAAATATTCAAAGTCAATGAACCATGACTGAAGGTACATGGCAAAACAATCTCCATGGAAAGGAGATGTGCCAATGCTAATACAACTGCATACCAAATACCATAGACTTATCATAAGTCGTTCCCTTTCAACAAACCTAAACACAAACATTGACTTGTAAACTATGTAAAAGTTTCAAAGTCAATGAACCATGATATGGGGGTGTGGCTATATAATCTCCATGGAAAGGAGACTTGCAAATGCCAATAAATTTGCATACCAAATATCATTGACTTAACATTAGCGGTTCATCTTAAACTGATCTAATCACAAACTGATACATGTAAACTAAGCAAAAGTTTCAAAGTCAATAGACCATGACTGCAGGGGCCGGACCAAATATTCTTCATGGAAATGAGATATGCCAATGCTTATACAACTGCATACCAAATATCATTGACTTATCACTAGTGGTTCCCCTTGAACTGACCTAATCACAAACTACTAGTAATACATGTAAACTAAGCAAAAGTTTTAAAGTCAACAGACCATGACTGAGGGGGCGGAGCCAAATAATCTCCATGGAAATGAGATATGCCAATGCTTATACAACTGCATACCAAATATTGACTTACCACAAGTGGTTCCCAATAAACTGACCAAATCACAACTAAAACATGGAAATTAAGCAAAAGTTTCAAAGTCAATAGACCATGACTGAGGGGACAGGGCCAAATAATCTCCATGAAATGAGATGTGCCAGTGCTAATACAACTGAATACCAAATATCATTAACCAACCAGTAGTGGTTCACCTTAAACTAGACCTAATCACAAACTAATACATTGTTGACGCCGCCGCCGCCGACAGCATACCTATGTCTCGCTTTTTGACTCCCGTCAAGGCGAGACAAAAATGGTGGTTTAAACCTTGTTTTATAACTAGCCAAAACTCTAAGGATATAGTTGGGGGAAATTGTTCAAAGTTTTATCTAAATTGAAGCTTAGCTGTATTTAGTATACTGACCACAACATTTCATATCTTTAACAGAAAAATATGACAAAACTATATTGTCAATTTTCTAATGTTACGTACTCAAAAGGGACAAAACAATTTTCTACTTCATTCAGTGAATAGTAAGTTCATGATCTATTCTAATCAGGTTTGCAATTGGTTGACTACTTCGATTGAAATTATCTCAAGTTCTGTCTAATTGAGTTTTAAGACAAAGTTCTTTAATCATAGCATCTTTATTAAGTTATAAAATGTAATACTGACCGTTAATAGTCGCTGGCAGTTTGGGTGGTGTTTTCATTGTTGTTGGTACAGAGGTTGGTGGTGGTGTTAGAACAATTGTTGCTAAAAAGTTAAGAAAAAAAAATCAATTGAAAACAAATGTAAAACTGATTACAAAATGAACACCTGATCATGCACATGTATTTATCATAGATTACAGTAAAAACACAAAAAAATCTGCTAGCACATATAGTATAGAAAACATTAGAATATTTAAACAGTTATGTTAAAAGTACAACTTGATTTGATGCCCCCATAATAGCTTTGATACATTTCATTTTGTAGGACAATTTATTGCTGTTGTTCTTTTCAAACTTTATAACTCTATGTTTTGCAAAGACAGCAGGAGGTTGAAAATTGTCAATTAATACAAGTTGTACAGGGTAAGCGACACATTCCAGTTAACAACAGTTCTTGGTGAATGTAGGACTGATAAAACATTAATTGAAAATTCATTATACATGCATTTTTACTTAGATATGTCATGACAAACACAAATAAAACAAGAAATGATTGTAACAGGATGCTGTTACGAAGTCTCCCAAACGAAGCTCCCATAATTCGTAATTCCCAGGGTCGCCCCACATTGAGCAAAGTCCAGTGAAAATTGGTTTGATCCAGTAAAGTTATATGCATAAGTGATGCCTGGGGACTAACCCTGTATATTATTCAAATCATCTTGGCATGACAAACCAGAATATATATGGTTTAGGGGTGGGGATCTCGACCATTTACAAGCTACTAGAACATTGGGGGTGGGGGGAACCCCTGGGGACTGACCCTATACGTCATTCAAATGTTTGAGACATGATGAACAGGAATATATACGGTTTATGGGTGGGGATCTCGACCATTTACAAGATATTAGAACATTGGGGGTGGGGGAACCCCTGGGGACTGACCGTATAGGTCAGTCAAATGTTCGAGACATGACGAACAGGAATATATATGGTTTAGGGGTGGGGATCTCGACCATTTACAAGATATTAGAACTTTCTCAAATGGCAGGGGGTCGGGATGACCCCTGGGGACTAACCCTGTATTTCATTTGATGTGCTTTATCATGACAAACCAGAATATATATGGTTTAGGGGTGGGGATCACGACCATTTACAAGATATTAGAACTTTCTCAAATGGCAGGGGGTCGGGATGACCCCCTGGGGACTAACCCTGTATATCATTCAAACCATCTTAGGATGACAAACCAGAATATATATGGTTTAGGGGTGGGGATCTTGACCACTTACAAGGTATTAAAACTTTCTTAAATGACAGGGGGTGGGGTTGACCCCTGGGGACTAACCCTGTATTTCATTTGATTTGCATTATCATGACAAACCAGAATATATATGGTTTAGGGGTAGGGATCTGGACCATTTACAAGATATTAGAATTTTCTCAAATGGCAGGGGGTCGGGATGGCCCCTGGGGACTAACCCTGTATATCATTCAAACCATCTTAGCATGACAAACCAGAATATATATGGTTTAGGGGTGGGGATCTTGACCACTTACAAGGTATTAGAACTTTCTTAAATGGCAGGGGGTGGGGGTGACCCCTGGAGACTAACCCAGTATTTCATTTAATGGGCATTATCATTTAGAACATTTTCAATTAAAAAGATTGTGTCTATCACAAACGGTTTTCAATCTATAATCATTTGAAAATTTTAAAAAATAAAATCCCATAGGGTTCTATAGTAAAACCCTCTTTTCTTTTTGCTCCTCAAAGTACCCCTTTATAAACCCCATTGCACAAACAAAACCCTGATTGCACCACTGGACATGTTAGTCTAACATACTGTGAAACCCTAAGTTAATCTGACTAGCGGTTTTTGAGAACGGGTGCGGACAAGTTCAAATTTAAAAGCGGCGGAAGAGGAAGAGGAAGAGGAAGAGGAAGAAGAATAATAATAATAATAATAATAACTGAGCAAAAACAATAAGTCTTCCCAAACTTCGTTTGGGAGACTTAATAAAATTGAGAATGGAAATGGGGAAGACTACTTGACTTTTCGTAATAGTAGAGGCAAAAAACGATGAATTTCAAATTCCTGTCATGTGCAGAAACATTTGAAGAAAATGAGAAATCTGATAAGGGGACACACATTTGATTTTCTTTGAGGGGCCAGTAGGTTTTTGAAAATGAATATCCTGGTCTTGGTAAGAGCTGAAAATAAATAACCTGCATAACACACGATGAAAATGAATATTCTGCAACACATAATGAAGGAATCAATCATGTACTAAAGTGCAAATGAATTTTTTGTAGGGCTTAAAAGCAGAAAAAAAAAGGCATGCGTAGCAACAGTAGAATCATATAGTCAATCCCAAAAAAACTCCTGATATGTTCAAACATTCTACATAAAATAAAAGTTCTAACTTTAAAATTGTAGGATGTGTCAAACATTCTACATAAAATAAAAGTTCTAACTTTAAAACTGTAGGAGTCAGGCAGACATGCCATGTACCATACTAATTTCCTTTCTAATGTACCAGTACCAGTACCAGTACACTAAATACTTTATCATTCAACTTCTTATTTACTACTACCCTTGAACACCTTTTCGCCCATCAAGTATATTTCATATGTAAGTTATAAAGCTAAGAGTCAATAAGATCATAAAAAAATATTTCATGGATAATAAATATAGCTTGACTTACTTGGATATGGAGTGAAACATCCATGGAGTTCAAATCTCATGGCAATCTTTCCATAGAAAGTTTGTGGATTGATTCTGATATAGCGAGCTTTGATTGGTGCAGTGAAAAAGTGGGTTACTGGTGTAACTGAGTCAAAGTTTCCACTGAATTGCTGCAAATAAAACTCTTGTTATTTTAACATTTCTTATTCTTTACAAATTGAATATTCAATACAATTTTTAAAAAGAGGGAAAAAATCAAATGCATGATAAAGCTTCTTTTCAGTATAGAACATGTAGACTGAGAATAAAACCGTTTTTTGATACACTGTGAAGTCAATTACTATCCAGTCTTCAGGGTTCAAAAAATTTTGTCTATTTTTTTGTATCTATTTGTATTTACATTGTATCATAGATCAAATTTATTTGTTCAGTGTATGTTCACTGGTGTTAATATGTCTTTTGATTGAGTTAAGCCATTTCAATTGATATTTTATAGTGTGTCTTTCTATGTTGTGATGTTACACTATTGTTTCAGATAAGGGTGAAGGTTTGGTACCATTAAAACGTTTAAACCCGCTGGAATTGTTTGCATCTGTCCTAAGTCAGGAATCTGATGTTCAGTAGTTGTCGTTTGTTGATGTGGTTCATAAGTGTTTCTCGTTTCTCGTTTTTTATATAGATTAGACCGTTGGTTTTCCCGTTTGAATGGTTTTACACTTGCTATTCGGTGTGAGCCAAGTCTCCGTGTTAAAGACCGTACTTTGACCTATAATGGTTTACTTTTATAAATTTTGACTTGGATGGAGAGTTGTCTCATTGGCACTCATACCACATCTTCTTATATCTATTCAGGGTTCAAAGGTGGGTACTACAAATTTTTGAAGGGATAAGGGGTACTACTAGGTGTAATACCACCATTGCTTTTCTCCAATTAGTCTTTGTTAAATTTGCACTTTTCAAAAAATTGTGCAGAATGTATGTTTGTTTCAAATAAAGAAATACTTGGCATGAGTAAAGTTTTATCCTGTCCAGTACTACAGACAAAATTTCACATCACATTTCATTGCATATAAGATAATAACCATCACTGGAAGTTAACCAATCAAATTTCCACCCCTTTCTTTCCTGTTTACAAGCTTTAGTAACCATGTAACCTCAAGTTTCCAAAATTTTTATAGAAACACCAAATAAAAAAAGAATGGTGCTTTGAAACACCCAAGATGTATGTTTATGACTCAGAAATTTTTTTTACTGCAATGAAATGTAGGATTAATTTCCTACAAATGTCAAATTCAAGGGAATATTTTTTTTTCAACCCTTTTTCGTATGCAACCGGATGTGACGTACTATGATTTGGTGGTATTACACCTACTATAGACCTATATTCACCGATTTTCAGCAAACATTCAATGATAATTTAGAGAATCAATAAAACATAAATATGTTTTTGGGGCCCTTTATAGCTTGCTGTTCGGTGTGAGCCAAGGCTCTGTGTTGAAGGCCGTACTTTGACCTATAATGGTTTACTTTTACAAATTGTGACTTGGATGGAGAGTTGTCTCATTGGCACTCATACCACATATTCTTATATCTTTTTGAACAACTCTTACACAACAGGGAATGATTTCTCTGGAACCTGTTTTGAACAAAATATAGTGGATTCATTTGTTGGACCATTTTCTCTATGTGTTTCACCTGCTCATATATCTAAGTGACTTAAATTTGAATTGCATTGAGGAATTCAAGGTTTACTTTTTGTTTGCAGAAAATCTGTATTAAAACAGCATATGATATTAACAATCAACAGTATATGATTTTGAAATCATTTCATTTCATGAACACATGACTCAGTTTTATAATCAATGCCTGTCCTCAGATTAAATCTTCACCTTCTTCTGGCCATTTTCCATATATGTGTTCCAGTTAACTCCATCATTTGAGAACAGGACAAAGTATGAAGACACATATGATGGAACTGAAGGTCTTCCCTCTGTAGTTACACCTGTTACAAAGGTTGGTTGTAAGAAGTCTACTTGTATGTACTGGTTTTTGTTATCTACACCTGCAATCCAGGAATTAGGACCGTTCAGACGAGCATGTTCAGGGCTGGAGCTTGAACTTCTTTGTGAGGAAGCTGTTATCATCTCTCTTCTAATTGCCTCATTCTGCATACCCATTGGTACTTTGCAAGAATCTACAAGAAGAAAATATATAACTTAACTGTTTATAGAATACTCTGGACTATCAGAACGCTATACATATATCATCTAACAAGTCATTCTCAATTTCTCTCATTTGTTGAAACATGGTAAAGTCTATATGATACTTGAAGATTTTTGGAAAATTTATTGAAACTGAGCAAACCTGTGAGGGTAAAATCTTCTTATGGTGATGTGTCATCTACTCTAATCTTAATTGACATTGATTAGACATTTTTCTGCTAAAGACTAGTGGTTCTCACCATGTACACTGACTTTTCTCCAACAATAGTAAAAAGCTGTGCCATGAGAGCCCTTCACCCTTTTAGCTATCTTTATGCTTTAAATGAATTTATATCATCAACTAGAAATACTGTGAGCAAGGCTCAAATTTTTTAACGATTAAAATTCTATAACTGTCCAAAGTGGGAAAAATGGACAGTTTTCAACAATTTTTCAACGAATAAAGTTCGATAACGCCACAATGTCATATTAGAAATCTATAAAAAAAAACCAAAAGGGAACTTATTTCAATAGATATAAACAAGTCACCAAGTTTCATTAAAACTGCTCAAAGCATTTTTGAGTTATTGTCTAAAAACTAGAAAATTCACCCTTTTTATGAATAAAGTCCCAATACTCCAAAAAATAAAATCAGAAATTTTTAAAAATCAAACGGGAACTTATGTCAACATATATAAATAATTCACCCAAGTTTCATGAAAATTGCTCAAAGCATTTTTGAGTTAAAGTCAGAAAACTGGAATATCCCCTATTTTTTTATGAATAAAAACTCGGAAACAAAATCTAAAAAATTATAAAAATCAAAAGGGAGCTTACGTCAATAGATATAACCAATTCACCAAAGTTTCATGAAAATTGTTGAAAGCGTTTTTGAATTATTGTCCTAAGTGTTTTTAGGACAGATGGACAAGGGTATACCATAATATGTCCCATCTTTAAAGACGGACGTTTAAAAACTGGCTGCCATGATATAGACAAGAGCAATGAGCACCAACCAACAAACAAAATACAGTTGGTGTAAGGTTCAAATTGGGTACACACTTGGTACCTTGGTTATAGAGAAAGTCCAAATAACTGTCCATTCATGGGAAATAATGGAGCAGAGGCCCGTAGGGCTGACGCCCATTATTTCCCAGGAATGGAGTTATTTGGAATTTCGCTAACTTAAAAGCACCTTAAATATTAAGAACAAATCTTCAGATTATAACATTTTAAAGAATTTTATTTCATTTTTAATGGAGCAGAGGACCCTAGGGCTGACGCCAATTATTTCCCAGGAATGGACAGTTATTTGGACTTTCGCTAACTTAAAAGCACCTTAAATATTAAGAACAAATCTTCAGATTATAACATTTTAAAGAATTTTATTTCATTTTTAATGGTTTTCTTTTCATTTTCCCAGTGTTGTACCCAATAATCCGCAGGAAAGGATATTTATTTGTGTCTTTAAGTGGTATTTCAGGAGAGAGAAAAAAAAAACCTAGTATTTATGCATATATTATGTTAACGGATTATGAGCATTTTTCTTTTGAAAAATATTGGATTTAGAATCATCTGAGAACAAGAATGGGTCCATAGTACACGGATGCCCCACTCGCACTATCATTTTCTATGTTCATTGAACCTTGAAATTGGGGTAAAACTCTAATTTGGCATTAAAATTAGAAAGATCATATCATAGGGAACATGTGTTTCAAGTTGATTGGATTTCAACTTCATCAAAAACTACCTTGACCAAAAACTTTAACTTGAAGCGGGACAGACGGATGGACGAACGAATGGACGCACAGACCGAAAACATAATGCCCCTCTACTATCGTAGGTGGGGCATAAAAATGAAATGGTACATCTAGAATAAATTTCCAGGTACATAACATTCTATTCTAGATTATTTTACTAATAAGGGTGTGCTCCGTTATAAGTCATATCGGAAACAAAATGTGATTCTATATTTCAAACCATTCTATTAGATGAAATAAAATTAAACAAGAAAACAGTGTTTCATGCATAACCCCATATTTTATCTTTTCCTTTGTTCATTACAACGAACAAAATTTTTATGCATTTTTTAGATGAGTCTCAAATAGCAATACAAGAAAACTGAAAGAATTTTTATTTCTTCCCTATTATCAGAAAGGAAGAAAAAAAGTTTAAGAAAAAAAAACCTGCATGATTAAAAACATTTCTGGATTCCGTATTGTATGTCTTTAACTTAAGTTGAAAACTACTTTTTAATTTCATATAAACATTTCAAGATTAACGCCGTCATTTGCACTGTCAATATAACTGTTATATTTGCCACTGGACATATAACAACAGTGACTGAATTCGATTATGTTACGCATTGCTGTTGAAAATTGAATAAAAAACCCACCCAATATTTAACACAAGCCATATTCAAATGTTATCCATACCCCCTCAAATTCTATTCGTTAGTACTATAGTCAAATTATAACAACTAACAATCAAATAATATACCGAATATGCCATTTTTACCATTTCAGTTTCTTGAACTATTTATTCTATATAATTGTAGAAACTATCCGAGTTACACTTCTGTTTTAATGTTAATATAAAAATGCAAAAAACAATATTTACCGTACAAAATTAAAATACAACAATTCAAATTTCAAGGTAATGATATCTTAAACTGTTAAACAGTAAAATTAAAAGCAGATCTTAAAGTGAAATATATTTTTCTCTAATTTTCATTATTGAATAATGTTAATGTTTTCAGTATTACAAAAGAATTCAACTGAGTTAACATATTTGATATTTTGTAGATGCACAGAACAGGAATGGCACTCAATGGAAAATAATTGTTTTTACCCGCTTGGATACTGTCCGTGCATCGGAAAACAAATTGTGGATAATGTTGTTGAATTTTAGTGAACACGATACTGTATATTATACAATGGTATTACGACTAGCAAATAACAGCTGTTTGTTAATAATGAGATATTTGGTGTTCATTGTATTACATTTTGTACTACGATCCCAATTTTAAAAAAGTCCAGTATTAGCCGTTTTAGTAAGTTTTTATCTTCATTCAATATCACGTTACTTCCTTTAGAATTATTTCAATGGTTGAACACTTTTTAAGAAAGTGCCCATGGAAATATCCAAAAGTCAAAACGTCCGGATAAATGCAGATGAACAATAGAAAATAACTCTCCATTAATGAAAAATAATGGAGAGTTTGAACAAAGATTTACGTCACAGGTGTATTTTAATTTGGAGTAACCCTTACTACTGTTGATGTAAGGTACAAACTTGGTATTCTGTTTGGTGAAGTAACCCTTACTACAGTTGGTGTAAGGTACACACTTGGTATTTTGTTTGGAGTAACCCTTACTACTGTTGATGTAAGGTACAAACTTGATATTTTGTTTGGTGAAGTAACCCTTACTACAGTTGGTGTAAGGTAAATACTTGGTATTTTGTTTTGAGTAACCCTTACTACTGTTGATGTCAGGTACAAACTTAGTATTTTGTTTGGTGAAGTAACCTTTACTACAGTTAGTGTAAAGTACAAACCTGGTATTTTGTTTGGAGTAACTCTTACCACTGTTGATGTCAGGTATAAACTTGGTATTTTGTTTGGTGAAGTAACCTTTACTACATTCAGTTAGTGTAAAGTACAAACCTGGTATTTCGTTTGTTGGTGTAACCGAAACAACAGTTGGTGTTAGCATTGGTGTTCCTTGTCCAGGAGCTGTAGGCGATGGTGTTGGATTTTCTGGAATGAAGTAAGACATAATTATGTTTAAATACTGTCAACATTACATTTAAGTTTATTGAAAGATTTTTAATGGATTTACATCAAACTATGCAATCATATGTAATAAATATCGAAAAAACTAGAGCAAAAAATATTTGGAGCAAAAAGCAAAATAAGTACTCAAAGGCATTATATGGTGAAGATTCTGAGTATCATCAAATTCTGATTAGGGGTATAGAAGAAGTTGATACAAATTGAACTGTAGTGAGTGGATATAGTACATGTCATGCCACAGTTAGCCCCAAAAATAAATCATTTGGATGAAGAAATAAAACGGGAGGTGCAAGAGTACATCATATTAGTTAGATTCAATAAAAGTTTCACAAAATTCTGTGAAACCATTCATTACCTATTACAAAATACAAAAAGTAGACAAAATGAAGAATGGACAGAAAAACAGACGGCCCCCTTTATTGTATACCATCTGGTTCAAAAAGCAAGGGTTAACAATTATTTTATGGGAAGGTTAGATTTATGACAATCAGCTACGTGTTTCACCCTTAACTTTTTTGAAGGAATGTAAAGCTTAACAGAGAATTGCAACTTTATATTATTACTTTTACAATCTCTTTTCAGATTTATTCCATTTTAATATGTTTTCTCCAAAATAGTTACAAGCAAAAACCCAAACCAACACTACACTTACTACTAATAACATTTACCTAATCAAAAATATTCTACTTGATTGACAATGTTAAATTCAAAAATATCTATCTGAATAACTGTGATAATGATTAACAAGAAGATTTTTTAACTGTAAATAATTCTTGTTCTGACATTAGTCAAATAACAAGAATGTGTCCATAGTACAATGATGCCCCACTCGCACTATCATTTTCTATGTTCAGTGGACTGTGAAATTGGGGTCAAAACTCTAATTTGGCATTAAAATTAGAAAGATCATATCATAGGAAACATGTGTACTAAGTTTCAAGTTGATTGGACTTCAACTTCATCAAAAACTACCTTGACCAAAAACTTTAACCTGAAGCGGGACAGACGGACGAACAGACTGACGGACGAACGGACGCACAGACCAAAAAAACATAATGCCCCTAGGTGGGACATAAAAACTCACCACCACACATGCAGAAATATTTGATTTGGTAGTCATCACAACCAACTGGGAAATTATCTGCATTATTACAAATCATTCCTTGCTCCTTTGTGCAGGATTGGATAGCACCTGTACTGTGGAATGGTATTCCAGTGGATGTCTGACATTCCACCTGCTTGATGGTTCCACCAGGACAGAATTTCCTTATTTCTTCAGGGGTCATTTTTTCATAATCTCCATTATTAGTATCTGGCTTGTCACGGTTGAGCCAGGATGACCATCTAGTGATACAAACTCTTGGTTTAGGTGTTGGTGAATGAGCACTGTCACCAGTTGGTGATGGTGTTGGTGTACCTTGATTCAGTCCATTTGGCGATGGCGTGGGAGATAGATGAACTTCAGGACTTGGTGAAACTGTAGGCTTATGGCCATCATTTCCGGTACTCTTGGTTGGCAATTCTAAAAAAAAAAATTTCCTTAGTTTTATAAAAAAAAAAATAATAAGTAAACTTAGAGGTAAAAAACAGAAACAAGTTGATTAATAAAAAACTTCTATTACATACAGATGTATCAAGATTTGAAAAAAGGATATGATCCAGGGATCAGCAAATTTTTTCACACAATTTCGGTCCTTTTTTCAAACTGTCGAAATTATGCACACTTAAGTTTCATAGCATCAACGAACTTGTATTGACTGTTTCTTCGCATTTACTTCATGAATTTTCATACCGTTTTTCTAAAACGTTAAAAGAACAGTTTATGGAATGCAACAGTTTAAAATTGAAACGATTTTAATGACTCAAAAATTTCTCAGACATCGCTAACGTTTCTTTTGAATTTGAAGACGAAATTAAAACCGGAAGTGTTACTAAATTATGAGTATTTTCTAATTCATTTCAGGATTTGTTCTGTTTATCAAAATGACAGGAAATCACAGGATTTTTAATTTTATTACCTATAAAAGTGTGGGAATATTACTAATAATAGTTGCACTCGTTTAATTTAGCATGAAAACATTTTGCATTTTACGATTTATTGTCTAATCTGGTGAAGGCAATTTCATGCATGCGTAATACATAGTAAATAACAGCACACGTTTGTCTTATGAAAAATTTCTTTTTGCTACGTAAAGTTTTTATTTTTAAATCAGAATAGACGATTGTCTTTAAATCTTAATTCTTTATAATATTAGTTCTGAGTTTGTGGTTACTGTCAGGTGTGAATAACAGGTAAATAGTGATTAACGATTTTTTAGCCAATATTTCCCGGATGCATTAATATGGTTAATAAAAACAAATGCAAAATGGTGATTTCCCATCCCTAGTTTTTCCATGCACTAAACTTTTTCCATGAATAAATGATGTAATGATGGAAATTTTGGTTTTTTCCATGGAATTCCATGGAATTTCATAGAAAAATATTCCATCACTGATGGAAAACTTAAATGTATCACTTATTCCATCATTTTCCATGATATGATGGAAAACTTTCCATGATAAAAAATACTGTTTGAATGGGAAATAGGATGGAAAGTAGACTTAGAAAACTTTGTAGATGGAAAAGAAGTTGGAAAGTGGACTTAGAATATTTTCGAGATGGAAAAGAGGATGGAATCTTCACTTAGAATATTTTTGACATGGAAAAGATGATAGAATCTGGACTTAAAATATTTTTGAGATGGAAAGAAGGTTGAATGTTGACTTAGAATTTTTTAGCATGGAAAAAATTATTTGCAGGAAAAAACAATAAAAAAAATCTATTTATAAGGCAATATAATCTGGTCATAAAATATGTTTCAATGTTTTGTTAAACAATAAATAATTGATATGACTGAGCTTACTGAGTAAATCATATATTGTACTATAAAAGTAAATTCAAAGTTCAGATGTTTCTTCGTTCTTATTTCCTTTCAATCATTTTCCCTTACAGATATGAAGTGAGCTGCAATTCCGCAGCAAACTAATTTTTTTGCAATAAAGTGGCAGGTTGTTGTACTGTGATTTTTTGTTCTGTAATTGTCTGTCTGTTGACCACTACATTATCCAACATAATATTTGCCTCAGTGAGTTATTTTCACTTACAGTAATTAAAACAACATTTTTAGTTTGATATTTTTCGATCAAATGAATAAACTCATCATAGATACCAGGATTAAAATTTTGTATAATACAGCCTCATGTTAAATTTATATAATTTCAAGTATCTTAATGTACACACAAATTATTTCCATGCATTAAAGGAGTCGTGACATGATTTAAAAACAATAAATCAATAAATATTAGTCCTAAAACATTTTTGTAAAATTTTGATGGTCAAAACCTGATCACATATCCAACTATCGCGGTCATCACGTGACTTTTACACGTCAGTTGTATATCATTAATGGCCGATTGATTATCAATGAAAATGAACGGGGTACATAGATTAAATGGTCATAACTTTTTTGTTGCTTTGTGTATTTTACCTTCCAACCCCGCGTTTTACAGTACATTCATTTTTACAATTAAAAATGTTTTAAGTTTCAGTTCAGATATATGATTTCTTGCTTCAAAATAAGTTTGAAAATTGAGGTGACATAACCACACAGCCTCCGTTGACTTCTTCGTTAAAACTCGATAAAATTGCAATGGGACCTTATTATATAATCAATTTTCTCAACTTATTTATTATTACTAATATCCTTCCAACCCCTAAAAAGATCAACAACATATTCATATAAATGAAATCGTAAACCATATCAGTTTAGGTATCAAACTTTTTGCTTCAAAATTTGATTGAAAAGTTGACATTTTGGCATTCGTTAGCAATATTTTAAACATGGCGGCCGCTGTTGGAAGTAAACAACGTAACGACATGCCGGTATTCATTTAGTTATTAATTAAAAAGTAATATTTCAAATTTTTATTTAAGTGTGTCTTAATGTATTTAAGAAATTTTTTATTTCACCTTTTCTTTGATATATTTATTAGAAACAGTCTCGCGCACTCAAAATAAAGATTTGTATGCATTAACCATGCAGTTTACATTGACAGCTTGGGCCGACTTGTGAAGATATATTTTGTAAGATATTTACGATGAAAATCGAATAAATGTTGGATGCTTGCGTTTTCAGTAATTGTCTTACCTTAAAGCAGCATAGAATCAAACATTGTTTCTCTTTGTTAAAGTGGATACATGCTGTTTGTTTTGATAAAATTTTGAAGCTACGTAAAAAAAAATGGCGACCAAATAATTTTCAAATGTAGAAGATGTTCGACACTGATTTTACCCATGCAAATGATTCAATTTGATTTCACTGTTGATATTGCAATTAAGTATGACACGTTATTTTCACTTTAATAATACACAAGGACATAGCTAGATTAAGGAGATATTAAGTCATCAACGTGATCAAAGAAAACAAACATGGCACCTAATCACGATGTAAGTTTTGACAAGACCTGTGTAGATGTAGATTAGTATTGTTAAATTCTTAATGAAATTAATTTATGCTATTATTTTATATCAATAAAAGAAAATCTCGAATGGATGGTAACCGAGGTGAAATATCTATATATTTTTCAATTTTCTAAACATCACACGGGTAACCAGTAAATTTGACATAATTCTTATTAAACCAGTAACATGCAGAGTTATCGAACGTAACTATGACTGGAATAGTTGCATATGATTGGCATTTTTAAGGTCAAAGAATCCAGTGCTTGTCAAAATCAAGGATTTTTAATTAGATAACGATCACATGATCGTGCTTACGTCACGGGTTCCCAGCTGAGAAAATGTCTCAAAATGGGCGATATCGATCACTTTTCTGCACAATTACACTACGGACAGTATTGACAGCACTTTGCCCCATTTCTGACAAACTAATGACAATTGACCTCATCAATCTGAGCCATTGTGTGTGGAAAATAACCAAGAAAAAGACATCAATTCTTCATGCGAAGAGTCAAACAAGGAGGATTTTTCAGACAATACAGATCGGTTTGTTACCATACATATGGGTTCGTCTGATGAATAACCTTAATAAAGCGCTTTCTGGATTATTTATATTAAAATTTAACTACTTTTAATCATGATTGAAAGTATAAATTTCTAATTATTGATGATCAAAATGTCCGTTTTTTCTCTGTTACAGTAACGTTATATGTATGCGCCAGAAGCAGAAAAAAAACGATAGTAAAAGTCAAATTAGGTGTTCCCTTTTAGGGTACCTTTTTAATTTTACTCTTTTTGTTTGTTACGGAGGGACTTTTAACAGGTATGAATTGTCAAAATTTATGCTTATAAATTTTTTGGTTGGAAACCATACATCACACTATTTCTGCATATAGAGGTTTATTTTTGTCTCACAGTTGAATAGACCGGACATATTTTTATTGCTTTGAGGAGTCTTCAAATAACAATTTTATTACTTTTCCCCCTGTTAATGTCAACATTTATAGGAGGCTGTTGTTTTAGTAATTAAATTTTCACACCTATTGCATACTTGACCAAGTGAAAGGTAATAGTGATTTAGTCACATGTAATGTTATTTACCGTTTAAAACCATACATTTTAAAGAAAAAATGTCTTATGTTGAAATATTTAATATAGTAATTCTACACCTCTAAAGTATGCAATTCCAACCAGAACCTTATAAATCTAACTTCAAATTTAAGGAATTTCACAAAGTAAATTTAAATTCACATATTTCCACCCCTCTCTCTCCAATATTATTTAGCATTTAATTTGTTTATTGCTAGAACATGAGTTATGTACTATATCTAGTTGTAATTGGCTTTGAACTAGCTTTAATACAGTAACTGCAAGTACTCTTAATTAGTAAGTAAATTTCATGTCTGCATTTCTAATTTTAAAAAATGTCAACAATACAGGTATGTGGCAAAACCGTCCCAGCACTGTTGAAAGTGGTGGAGGGGGGAATAATGCCCCGTGCATCCAAGCTTATACACCAGTTTTGTGTATCTTTTCTATTAATTCATCGAGCTTTATGCCTTAAAATTTCTTACCCAACAACAGGTTGTCTGATGCGTGTGAAAATTTCAGGGCAGATAGATCTTGACCTGATGAACATTTTAACAACATGTCAGATTTGCTCTAAATCCTTTAGTTTCAGAGCTATAAGCCAAACTGCATTTTAGCCCCATTGTTCTATTTTTAGCCATGGCAGCCATCTTGGTTGATGCACGGGGTCATCAGATACACTTTTTAAACTACATACCCATAGGATGATTTAGTCCAAGTTTGGTTTAATTTGGCCAAGTAGTTTCAGAGAAGAAGATTTTTGTAAAAGATTACAGAAATTTACGAAAATTTGTGAAAAATTGACTTTAATGGGCAATAACTCCTTATGGGGTCAATTGACAATTTTGGTCATGTTGATTTATTTGTAGATTTTACTTTGCTGAATAATTTTAGTGTTTACAGTTTATCTGTATCTACCATAATATTCAAGATAATAACAAAAAAATGCAAAATTTTCTTAAAATTACCAATTCAGGGGCAGCAACCCAACAACGGGTTGTCTGATGCATCTGAAAATTATATGGCAGATAGATCTTGACCTGTTGAACATTTTTACCTCTTGTCAGATTTGCTCTAAATGCTTTAGTTTCAGAGATATAAGCCAAAAATTGCATTTTACCCCCATGTTCTATTTTTAGCCATGGCCAAAGAGGGGGGATTTTCTTGTTAGCCATCACAAATTCCAAATAAACATTTTTATTAATGATTAGATTGTTTCCTTTTGGTGGAGTTTTCCCCATTAAATTGCAATCAAATGAACATATGACCTACTAAAGTTATTAACCATTATTGTTTTAAGGACATTATTTAGAGTATATTTAATTATTTATTACAATAAAAATTATATTTCTTATAGGTATCATGAGGAAAAAATAAAACTCCAAACATGGTTAATGCTGTTCTATGAGATGGATCTACTGAAGTCATGTCGGCAAAAGTGACAGTAATGAACTAAATTTTCCTGTTATATAGGCAGTGCAAACATATACCAAAGTTTTTGTTTGTTTATTGTATTTATCATATTTAATCAGAGTAATCTGAAGTGAATGTTAGAATGATGGTTCCATATAAAAAGAAGATGTGGTATGATTGCTAATGAGACAACTCTTCTCAAGAGACCAAATGACACAGAAATTAACAATTATAGGTCACCGTATGGCCTTCAACAATGAACAATGCCATACCGCATAATCAGCTATAAAAGGCCCCAAAATGACAAATGTAAAACAATTCAAACGAAAAAACTTATGGCGTAATTTATGTACAAAATAATGAACGAAAAACAAATATGTAACACAACAACAAACGACAACCACTGAATTACAGGCTCCTTACATGGTACAGGCACATGCAGAATGTGGTGGGGTTAAACTAGTTTGAAGGCGCCAACCCTCCCCTAACCTTGGACAGTGGTGTAAGACAGTACAACATAAGAACAAACTATAATAAAATGCTCCGCTGGGCGCAGCTTGATACGACCGCAGAGGTCGAACCCTGAACAGTTGGGGCAAGTATGGACACAACATTCAAGTCTGATACAGCACTGATATTGGATTGTGATTAAATATTTGACACAGCATAGGTTTCTGACACAGAATGAATGTGGTCTAAGAACTTAAAAATTTTAATTTACCTATTCAAACCATATCATTATTATTTGCTTTTATATATAAATCAGAAATAACCAATTTAAAATGGAAAATTTTAAAGAAAAAAAAGAACCCCCCCCAAATTTTTTGAACCCCCTTATGATTCATCACCCCCAAACTCAATCCTAGCCTTCCCTTTGTGGTATGGTACCTTGCAGTACAATTTCAGAGAGATCCATACACTTGAACACAAGTTATTTTCTGGAAACTAGAAAAATGCATGTTTTTTGGCCCCTTTTTGGCCCCAAATTCCTAAACGTTTAGGGCAATTACCCCCAAACTCAAACCCAGCTTTCCCTTTGTGATATGAAACCTTGTAGTACAATTTCATAAAGATCCATACACTTACACACAAGCTATTGTCCTGAAACTAGAAAAATGCTTGTTTTTTTCCCCCTTTATGGTCCCTAATTCCTAAAATCTTGAGGCAATTACCTCCAAAATCAATCCCAGCCTTCCCTTTGTGGTATGGTACCTTGCAGTATAATTTCAAAGAGATCCATACACTTGAACACAAGTTATTGTCTGGAAACTAGAAAAATGCTTATTTTTTGCCCCTTTTTTGGCCCCCAATTCCTAAAACTTTGAGGCAATCACCCCCAAAATCAATCCCAGCATTCCCTTTGTGATATGGAACCTTGTGGTACAATGTCAGAGAGATCCATACACTAACACACAAGTTATTGTCTGGAAGTTACAAAAATGCTTATTTTTGGCCCCTAATTCCTTAACTGTTTGTACCATAACCCCCAAAATCAATCCCAACCTTTCTTTTGTGGTTTTGAACCTTATGGTAAAATTTAATAGAGATCCATTTGCTTAAACTAAAGTTATTGTGCGAAAACCAATGTGTCTTCGGACGACGCCAACATTATACCAATATACGACGGTCGTATAAAAACCATGGTTGTTTGAAGTTGTATCTCGATACTTCCGTTAAAGGCAGTCAGTTTTATTGATTTTACTGACCAGCGTAAGACTCAAAAGACCTTACCAAACTGAAACAATGCATTGCACCTAGTTGTTTATGTTCATTATTACAGATAAGTCTACACAGGGTAACCTTCGCCAATAGGTTTATTTGAGCGATACATTCTAAAAGGAAAATGATGAAAATATTTTCATGGAATTCCATGGAAAAAACCATCATGGAATATATTTCCATGGAATTCCATGGAAAAATATCATGGAAAATAATTCAATGGTATTCCATAGAAAATGTTTTTATATGGAAGTATTATTTTTTCCTTTTTTTCTCTTTTTATTTTCCATGGCATTCCATGGAAAACAGGTTCCAATACTCCATGGAATTCCATGAAATTCCGTGATAGACAATGGAAAATCTAGGGATGGGTAATAAACCTGATCTCATAACTGAAATTACTTCTGTAAACAGAATAAATTTTTAGTAAATCCAAATCTGCCTTTAAGGACAAATAGCTTTCAGTTTAGGTCATGACTGGCAAATATGACCGTTTTCGGACCCTTGATCAGATTACAACTGTCGTGTAACCTGTTTCTGTTGTCTATGCATGCTTTTTCAAGTAGTTTTTAATGTATAAGCGTTATCTGTCTTTAGTTGTTCTTTTCTGATTTCTTTCACTCCCATTTCCACAATGTCAACTAATTAAAATTAGTTGACATTGTGGATACAATCTATTTTTGTTTATTTTGCTAGTCAAGAATCACATTAAGATTAATTCACTTTAGTACAATAAATCTCAATAAATTGCTTTGCCGAGCGAAGCTGGATACGACCGCAGAGGTCCAACCCTGAACAGTTGGGGCAAAAATGGACACAATATTCGTGCTTGATACAGGTCTGAATTTGGATTGAAATTAAATGTTTGACACATAATAGGTTTCTGACACAGAATAACTGTAGTCAAAGAACTTAGAATTGGTTATATGATTTGTATTTATATTCAATTTTTTGCTTTTGTGCAATTCACTATGCTGTTGCGAATTGCCCCCCCCCCCCCCAAAAAAAAAAAATTACCCCCCCTTTTTTGTTTGCTTTTGTACAATACACTATGCTGTTGCAAATTGCCCCCCCCCCTCCAAAAAAAAAAAAAATACCCCCCTTTTTTTTGCTTTTGTGCAATACACTATGCTGTTGCAAATTGTCCCCCCCCAAAAAAAAATTAATAATTTCACCCATTTGAAGAAATTTTCTTTTAATTTCTGAAATCTGTAATGAGAAAAAGAAGAAATTGTCCCCCCCCCCCAACAATTTCTTTTTTACCCCCCCCCCCATTTTTTTTCATCTCCCCTCCCCCTCCCCTTTTTCAAAAAAAAAAAATCTTTCCCTCAAGATATGGTCATGATCTCAATTCAAATTTCCAATAGAGTTTGCAACCATAATTACCCATTTAAATACATCATAAAAGTCTTAAAATAGAAAATGACATACATAATCATGTCTACATGTATTTGTTCAGTGTATGTTCACTCGTGTTAATATGTCCTTTGATTGAGTTAAGCTATTTCAGTTGATATTTTATAGTGTGTCTTTCTATGTTGTGATGTTACACTATTGTTTCAGAAAAAGGGTGAAGGTTTGGTACCATTAAAACGTTTAAATCCGCTGCATTTGTTTGCACCTGTCCTAAGTCAGGAATCTGATGTTCAGTAGTTGTCGTTTGTTGATGTGGTTCATAAGTGTTTCTCGTTTCTCGTTTTTTATATAGATTAGACCGTTGGTTTTCCCGTTTGAATGGTTTTACACTAGTTATTTTTGGGGCCCTTAATAGCTTATTGTTCGGTGTGAGCCAAGGCTCCGTGTTGAAGACCGTACTTTGACCTATGATGGTTTAATTTCATAAATTTTGACTTGGATGGAGAGTTGTCTCATTGGCACTCATACCACATCTTCTTATATCTATCTACAAATAATATATCTATAATCAGCATTTTTATTAGTAACTTCTAAAAATAAATTGACAGCTTATCACCTCAAGACAATACAAGATTTCTTTATACATAATTTTAAAGCAGTGTAAGGGAGGTAATCCAAATTTAACATAGTACTTAAAAGTAATTGTCCATTAACAAGGAAACCCTTGTTTTTCCCCCCTTTTTTGGCCCTAATTCCTAAACGGTTTGAGCCATTACCCCCCAAAGCCAATCCTAACCATCCCTTTGTGGTATGGAAACTTGTTGTACAATTTCAGAGAGATCCATACACCGTTCTACAAGTTATTGTCTGAAAACTAGAAAAATGCTTATTTGGACCCCTTTTTTTTTCTTTTCATAACCCCCAAAATCAATCCCAACCTTCCTTTTGTGGTTATAAACCTTGTGTTTAAATTTCATAGATTTCTATTTACTAATACTAAAGTTATTTTCCGGAAACCAAGTGTCTTTGGACAATGACGACGACGACAACGTGATACCAATATACGACCACAAAAATTTTTTGCGGTTGTATAAAAACAATAAGCTACCGAAAAGGAGAACATCATTATTAATTTGTCAAAAAACTAATTTGATGTATACTTACTAATAAAAATTTGCACAAATAAACTAATTATTAATATTCCACTTACCAGCACACTTGCACATGTATCTGATCTTGTAATCCATACATGGTACATTAAAGTTATCCATGGTGTTACAAGTAAATCCAGTGTCAGGATAGCAGGTTGCAATCTCACTAGTACCACTATAAGGCATGCCATCTTTGGTTGCACATTCAACATCAATGACCTCTCCACCTGGACAAAATTTCAACTTCTCTGCAGCTGTCATAGCTTCATGGTCACCGTCACCAGTGTCTGGAGTATCTCTATTTATCCAGTTGGACCATCCTCTATTACATGTTGATGGAGATGGAGTTGGATTTAAGCCAGTATTGCCTGATGGTGATGGAGTTGGATTCAACCCAGTAATGCCTGAAGGTGATGGAGTTGGGTTCAAACCAGTATTGCCTGATGGTGATGGAGTTGGATTCAATCCAATATTGCCTGATGGTGATGGAGTTGGATTCAAGCTAGAATCACCTGTTGGTGATGGAGTTGGGTTCAAACCAGTATTGCCTGATGGTGATGCAGTTGGATTCAAGCCAGAATCACCTGTTGGTGATGGAGTTGGGTTCAAACCAGTATTGCCTGATGGTGATGGAGTTGGGTTCAAACCAGTATTGCCTGATGGTGATGGAGTTGGGTTCAAACCTGTATTGCCCGTTGGTGATGGTGTTGGGTTCAAACCTGTATTGCCTGATGGTGATGGAGTTGGGTTTAAATCTGAATTGCCCGATGGTGATGGTGTTGGGTTCAAGCCAGAATCATCTGTTGGTGCTGGGGTTGGAACTCCAGTCTTTTCTGGATTGGGTGATAAAGTTTTTCCTGCCAGAGGTGTTGTAACAGGAGCACCTGTAAAAAACAATATTAATATTTTTGTTATATTTAGCTAAAACATAATTATCTCACATTTGCTTAAGAACTGTTAACACAGAAATGTCGTGCATGTGTAACTTATCAAAAACTTTAACAAAAGATGAGGCCATTTTGAATGATAACACCAACAACAGCAAATCTAAGTCTTTCATAATTAAAGAACCTTTGTGAGCACGCTCCCATACCCCACTACCCCACATTGTCACTTGGCAAACAAAATCACCAGATTCCTAAGTTCAAAGACTCACAACTCCTACAAAAGTAAACTGATAAAAGTTCTTGTGGATATGCACATTAACATATTGTATCCTTATTATCTACAAAGTTTCATGAAATTCTGCTGTGTGCATTCAGAGGAGTTGTGATGACAAACTGTTGCAGTAGTATATATAGGCCAAAATTCTAAGTTCAAGGGGCATTGCTCCTAGAAAAAATTTTAATCATAATTTTCTGTTGATATGCACATCTACATAGTATGTACTAATTATCTACAAATTGTCATGAAATTCTGTTGTGTAGATTCAGAGGAGTTGCGATGACAAACTGTTGCAGTAGTATACAGTTTCTCCAGATTGCTTGACAGCAATTGTATCCCAAAAAATGATAAACGTTATAATAACAATTGAAACAATAGACTGAATAGTGTTCTCTAATGTTTGCTTGGTAAATTTATCATAAAGAAGAAAATCTGTACTGCATATGTTATGCAATCATGTATACTGTTTACTATAAAACATTAGTGCATTATAACGGAAAAAGTGGATGTTCAAATTTTTGTAATCATGTAATAATTCTCCTTAACAACAGAATAAACCAAAAGCTATCTTGGTCGGCAGGCGGGGTCATCCAACACATTTTTAAAACTAGATACCCTAATGATGCTGGTAGCCAAGTTTGGTTAAATTTTGATCAATAGTTTCAGAGGAGAAGATTTTTGTAAAAATTAATGACGACGACAACATCAGACTATGGACGCCAAATGATGAGAAAAGCTCACTTGGCCCTTCGGCCCAGGTGAGCTAAAAATGAGAGAGATTTATGATAAACAGTTTGTTATTTCCGAAAACAGTCTTATTCTTTTAAGATAGCTTGAAATAAGCCATATAAACCTGAAAAATGATGATGATAACCTTGCAGGGAGAATTGGCGGGAGATTTTTAAATTGTCAGCTCAAGACATCGAGCATTTTCACATTAAACGTTGAGGTTACCAAGGGGGAGCAATATTTGGGATTTATTGCCATATTTATCTCCAAATCCAGCACAGCGACATATATTTTTTATTTGCTAGTTTCTCAAAGCATAACTAAAGACAGTTAATGTACAAAAATGAAGTACGAACCACTGATTTCCTCATTTTTACTGTGACTTGACTGTAAGTGTTGCTCTCAACCTATTGCAACTTATTCAAAATTCTGACCAAATTGCAATTTATTTTATAAAACCAAACTGTTCAACTGGTCAGAAATTTGAACAAACTGCTGTAGAAAACCTAAGTCAAGTTGTGAAAGTGCAAGGTGATAAAATAAAGTATACTTACAATCCTATAAGACTTTAATTCCACTTCAATGTTATTATGAAAAATCAGTCTAACAGTTTGTATAGAAATTTTATTGTTATTGTCATGCTAAAGGTGATGGGTAGTAATTTTGAATTGCTATAAAAATGTCCAAACTAAGCTTTCATACAATTTTTCTTTCGAAAAGTCTTCTATATACATAAGAATCAGACATCATTTGAATTGAAACATTTTATATTCAGTAAAATATGTGTGAAATTACAATACGTTGTTAGTAAGTTTCTATGGGAGATAATCAATTTTTCTTTCGAAAAATCTTCTATATTCAAAAGAATAATGTTTTAGGTTATCTACCACGGAAACTTATTAACAACGTATTGTAATTTCACACATATTTTACTGAATGTAAGATGTTTTAATTCAAATGATGTTTAATTCTTATGAATATAGAAGACTTTTAGAAAGAAAAATTGTATGAAAGCTTAGTCTGGACATTTTTATAGCAATTCAAAATTACTACCCATCACCTTTAGCATGACAATAACAATAAAATTTCTATACAAACTGATAGACTGATTTTTCATAATAACATTGAAGTGGAATTAAATTCTTATAGGATTGTAAGTATGCTTTATTTTATCACCTTGCACTTTCACGACTTGACTTAGGTTTTCTACAGCAGTTTGTTCAAATTTCTGACCAGTTGAACAGTTTGGTTTTATAAAACAAATTGCAATTTGGTCAGAATTTTGAATAAATTGCAATAGGTGGAGAGCAACACTAACAGTCAAGTCACAGTAAGTTGAAAAAAAACACACTTAGAGCATCCTTTTCATGATTTCAGGTATGACTTGAACACTAAACAAATCATTCTTATATGAACTTATTTCCTTCTTATTTTCCCTTTCCACAGCTTCAAAATTAAAATCAATCTTATTAATTAATGATGAAGAATATAAATTACTCTAAAATTCAAGAAATGTAAAAACCAAAAAAAAAAACAATTTTCTTGAAAACTAGTAAGAAACGGTAGCCTATGGTTATTAAGTGAATTTTTTATCAACTTGCCTAGACCATTAAAATATTTCAAAATTAATAATATGACAATACTACATGAACCAGTATCGGATCCCAATGAGGACATTCATTCCAATAAGGCTTTAATTGAAAATATCAACCATGCATACTTATTTGAAGATCTTCTACCATATTCATTTCACATAAAATCTTACTTTTAAAATCCATCTTAAGTTATACTGAAATGTTCATGACTTAGGAATATAATTGCTCTTAAGGTATTTTATGAAAAAGATGCTTGTCTTTCTAATTGCCAAAACTATGGGTAAAATGGTTATTTAAAGACAAAAATGGGTCAAAGTCTCAAATCGGTGGTTTGCAATATTTGTGACTACTGTAAATTCAGAAATTATTGTGAGGTTTTTATTAATGCGAATAATGCGACTGGGTGAGAATCACAATAATAAGAGCTCGCATACTGATATCTGATACATACATCTGTATGCAGATTTTCAAGAAATTGCAATAATTAATCTTGCATTTTTGTCCATTCTTCAAAAATCGCAATATTAAATGTACGCAATAATTTCCGAATTTAAAGTAATCCATTGTCATAAAAAGACAGATGTTTCAGGGATCTGGGTTGAAAACTGTAGGAGGAGTTGATTACACAAAACTTGTACCCTTTTTCTTTCATCAATTTTGCTGAAAAATGACTAATTTAAGTTCTCAAGTCTGGAAAAAATGAGAAAAAAATCCTCAAAAAATTCCATAATAGCAGGTGCACAACTCCAACATATGTGCAATCTTCCTGTGAAGTCTCAGGAATCTGCTTTGAAAACTGTAGGAGTTGATTACACAAATTAGGAACCAATCAAATAACTTCTATCAAGTTAAAAATAAGAAGACATGGTAAAATTGCAATTAGACAACTATCCGTAAGAGCAATTTTGATCATGGTAACTTATTTGTAGATTTTTACATTCTTTTATAGTTCTCTTTATCTTTTACAGACTTCAAGATAATATATATAAAAATTCTAAATATTGGATATTGTTGGTAATTTTAGAACAAAATGTACTTTACAAATAAAAATTTGAACCCTTGAAAAAAAGAACACTTGATCATAAAATTCTGATCCTTTTATTCATATTTAAACATTGAAGACAGAGCTACGTGTAGAAGAATAAATCATTTGTTTCTTCAGTCAGTGAAATAAATAAGAAGGACCATTTAGGTCCTTTTCTTGCATTTTAGAAAAAATATAAAAAAGAAAACACTTGAATTAAAAATCACAAACAAAGTACAGTTGAATTAATATATTACTACATAGAACTGATATTCTGATTCAGAATTATAGTTCTTTGGTGAAACATACCTGTGCATCCAAACAGTTGCCATCTTAGAGCAATAGCACCATTCCACGACACAGGTAGTAGTTTAACATACTGGGCATTGATTGGTGCTGTAAATCTTTGATGTACTGGTGTCTCGCTGTTATAATTGGCAGAAAACACCTGACAATAGATATGAAATTAAAATTAAATTCCAAATGGGGTTTAAATAAGATCCCTGAATAAATGCAACCCTCTCCATAAATCTCTATTTATCTTTGAATCAAAATTAAAGAACCTTAGTGAGCGCGCTCACATAACCCACGTCCCCACATTGTCATTGGAGAAATAAAATAAGTGTAAGAAAAAAAAATTGTATCAGAAAAAAAAATTGAATCATAATTTCCTGTCAATATGCACATCTACATAGTATGTCCTTATTATCTACACAGTTTCATGAAATTCTGTTGTGTGGTTTGAGAGGAGTTGCGATGACAAAAGGTTGCAGTAGTATATTGGGCAAATAAGTTCAAAGGGGCGTAACTCCTGGAAAAAAAATTGAATCGTAATTTCCTGTCGATATGCACATCTACGTAGTATGTCCTTATTATCTACACAGTTTCATGAAATTCTGTTGTGTGGTTTGAGAGGAGTTGCGATGACAAAAGGTTGCAGTAGTATATTGGGCAAATAAATTCAAAAGGGTCGTAACTCCTGGAAAAAAAATTGAATCGTAATTTCCTGTTGATATGCACATCTACGTAGTATGTCCTTATTATCTGAAAAGGTTTCATGAAATTCTGTTGTGTGGTTTGAGAGGAGTTGCGATGACAAAAGGTTGCAGTAGTATATTGGGCAAATAAGTTCAAAGGGGCGTAACTCCTGGAAAAAAAATTGAATCCTAATTTCCTGTCGATATGCACATCTACGTAGTATGTCCTTATTATCTGAAAAGGTTTCATGAAATTCTGTTGTGTGGTTTGAGAGGAGTTGCGATGACAAACTGTTGCAGTAGTGCATTAAAGTAAATAAGTTCAAAGGGGCGTAACTCCTAGAAAAAGAATTGAATCGTAATTTCCTGTTGATATGCACAACTACATAGTATGTCCTTATTATCTAAAAAGGTTTCGTGAAATTCTGTTGTGTGGTTTGAGAGGAGTTGCGATGACAAGAAACAGGACTGACGGACTGACAGACGGACGGACAGACAGACGGACGGTTCAAAAACATTATACCCTCCGCAACTCGTTGCGTGGGGTATAATTAATGAAAACCTTACACACACTTTTTATCATTTTAACAAAATAATTTCAGTGTGTACAGATATTTACTTTTTCTTACTGCTCTCTGAAAATTAAGGGTAATAAATGAATGTTGGAAATTAAATTATGATAAAGAGTTAGAGTAAGTTTCCATTCATATAAAAAAAATTTAAAGATTATATGTGCACAAATCTATCTTTTATTCAAGTATATAATAAAATTCAATCAATAATTGGTTAACAAATACGTTTGTTTCAGTTAAATTAAAGATGTCTCTTCCGTGATGATACAACTAACCTTTGGTTGCCCATTTTCCTCATAATATGTGTATGTTTTCTTATCCATTGAGTAGAGAAGCTTGAATGCAGAAATCCAGTATGGTTGACCAGCTTGACCCTTGGTTGTTATACTATCAATGATCATTGGTCTTCCAAAGTTTATCATGATCCATTCTGTCTTCTCATTCTTTCCTGCAACCCAGCCTCCAGTCAACAGACCACTATTAGTGTCTGTCAGGTGTGATCTTTCAACCCCAGAGTTGGGATTTAGACTGGATGAGGAAGACATTCTATCATTGTTCATGGGCAGCGAGGATCCTTGTGTCATACCATCAGTACATACTAAAGGAAGCCATTTTTATTTAGAAATCTCACATAATTTAGTATTTTCATAAAAAAATAATTCAGTTACAAAATTACTAGAGAGAATGTGAATTTCTCTAACAATTTTTATTTTTGATAATTCATCATTCATGCAATTTTCAGTGAAATCACTGATTGTTAAAGGAAATACAGTTGAACCTTAATTCTTGAATTTCGACACACTTAAACAATAGTGAAAATACTTATTTAGTTAATGCAAGCAAAATTCTCCTTTATGCCAATATGTTTTTATATTTCTAAACAATCATAGATAACTCAGCTTATTTTGCAGCATAAGAAGAATAAAACAAAGTAATTTGATTGTGTCAAACTTTGACATTAGGAAATTTTGACAAGCACTTGGGAGCTTGAGATATGAAATCAAAATCAAACACTCATATCAGATATTTTCATTCTATAACTGACTGAGTTTCCCAGATAAATAGCTGTATCAATAAAGTTGTTTGAATAAAATTATAAGATATCAATTTCAATTTTTTTTGCATTTCTGATTTGTTGTTACATGTATTTTACCTCAGATTCAATAGGGTTTTTTTTCTTTTGTTTTTATTATTAAACATAGTCATCAATTAAACAATTTGAATAGACTTTTGATGTTCAATCACAATTTATGTAAACTTCAGCTTTAATTATGTTTCCCTGTATATTATAGTTAATGAATGAAGAAGAATTTACATTTTCACACAGCCACATTTAAATAATAACACAAATATGCTTAATGTCTTCATTGATATCTCATGTATTTCATCACCTCTTAACTGATTAACCACTTCATTTACATGTGCAATATTCATGTACTAAAGATTGATCATATTAAAGCTATAACAACTCAAACATAGATAAAAGCATAACATTGGAGAGAATTAGAATTTATAAGATAAAAGTGGAACAAAATAATGTCAAAGATCAGAGATCATCTACTAAGATTAAAGAATCTCTTGATTTGTCTTTGTATCTTTAAAAATATCTTACCAAGCATAGATGTAACTGTCGTTGTATCAATACTTGTAGTGTGTTTATTTGATACTGTTTCAAAAGGAATAGTCATTATTATAATTCACAAGATAATACAATTTACATGATTTACAACCAACATATCAAATGTAGTTTTGATTTTGAATTAAATCAATTTTGTTTGTTAAATCAATTTGTAGCATTTAATAACAAAATAGTGAAAGAAACAATCATTGGACTTTTTCTTTTTAAAGCAGCAGCATTATTAGTATTATTATCTAAAAATCTGTCAAAGATAAAACATATACATTAACAATATTTCGCAACTGTGACAATACTGTTTGTAACTGTAACTGCTTTTTTATGTAACAGGCTATATTTACTGTCATTCTCCTTTGTCTTTTTGTGTTTTTCCATGTCTCCATGGTGTGGTCTGTCCTTAACTTACTAATTTGACAACTGCCTTGGTATCTGTTTTTTAATTTTTAGATTAAAGGCTGAATATTTTTCAAAATTTACCTGGAACTCTGGTTGTCTTGTCCAGAGATGAAGTTTTTAACTTGTCTGTTGTATGCCTTATTGAAGTCGTAGGAATATCTGTTACTGATGCTTCTGTAGTATGAAGTATTGGATTTCCAAATATATCTGTCCTTGGTGATGGTGTAGGATTAATGTAGTGACCAGAAGAAGGTGATGCTGTTGTCAAATGAGAACAATCCAATTCCTTTGGTTCGCATAAGATCCTGATCTCATAGTCAAAACATTTGCCACCAGTTGAAATCTGGTCAGCATTGTTGCACATCAACCCACCTTTATGTATATCACAAATAACTCCTTTCTGACCAGTTTCCATGAATGATTTTTCTGATCCATGTTGACGACATTCAATACTAGTAATATCCTCAATGTCACAAAATCTGAAATCTTTTCTTAGATTGGTGAATGTTTCAGTCTCTCCCTGTGTGTCTGGTTTGTGTCCATTGAGCCAAGTTGTCCATCCACAAACATTAGGTATAGGTTTTGTTGTTTTGGATGGACTAGTTAGAGGTGGACTTGTGTAATGATGGAATCCAGGAATTCCAAAACAATTGCAGAAAACTCTGACTTCATAATCCAGACATTTACCATCAGGCTGTGCATCATTTTTGCATCTCAATCCCCGAATACGGTCACAAGAAACAACTTCATCTGTTTGAGAAGAAGGAATCTTTGTTTTGGCCTCTCTGCATTCCACTTGTGTCATCATATAGTACTCACAGAGTGGATGCATTTTTCTAATATTAGCAATTGATTCAATGTCACCCTCAAACAGTTTTCCTTCTTTCATGATAGTTGGATTGTCGAGATTTATCCAGTGAGTCCAACCACAAGTAGGAGCAGCTGTTGGAATAAGTTGCACTCCTGAGGGTGGAGCAAGTGTTGTTGTTGTTGTGGTTGTTGGTGTTGCTAAATAAATAAAACAATTTTAACTGCATGTTTCTCTTTTGTTTTGTAAAATCTAGGATATCTGTGTTTCTAATGCAATAAATAAACTGCTGACACAGAGATATGTCTCCCCTTTATATAATTTTGATATTATAATGCAAATGTTAAAATTAAATAGGCAATACTTAAACATGCAAATTAAGACAAACAGTCAAAGTCAATGAACCATGACTGAAGGTGAAGGGCCAAATAACCTCTGTGGAAATGAGAAATGCCTCTGCTAATTACAACTGCATACCAAATACTATTTACTTATCATAAATGGTTTCCTTTAAACTGACCTAAGTACAAACTTTCACATGTAAACTATGCAGTTTCAAAGTCGATGAACCATGATGAGGTGGCAGGGCCATATAATCTCTATAGAAATGAGACATGCAAATGCTAATACAACTGCATACCAAATATCATTGAGCTGCCATTAGTGGTTCATCTTAAACTAACATAAACACAAACTATACAAAAGTTTCAAAGTCAAAAGACCATATGAAAGGGCAGGGGCAAATAATCTCCATTATGATGAGATGATATTGTGCAAATGTTTATACATCTGCATACCAAATTTCATTGACCTAACACTAGTGGTTCCCCTTAAACTGATATTATCATAAACTTTAACAAGTAAACTAAGCATAAGTTTCAAATTCAATAGACCATGAGTGGAGGGGAAAGGGCAAAACAATCTCCATGGAAATGTGATGTCCAATTGCTAATACAACAGCATACCACATATCATTGATCTACCATTTGTGGTTCCTCTTAAACTGACCTAATCAAAAACTAATACATTGTTGAAGACGCTGCAGGAAACTGCACAACTATGTCTCGCTTTTTTCACTTTGTTGAGGTAAGACAAAAACTTATACATTGTTGACACAGACCACCACTGACAAAATCATGCCCAAGTCTCACTTTTTCTGCTCTGTTAAAACAAGACAAAATCTCTAGTTTCTATAAAATAAGTATGTGGTCTTTTTAATAAAACATTCAATTTATTATCAGAAAAATGTAATTTTTATATAATTTTTGAATTTAAAAATTTGAACATGTATATTCATAGCATATTTCAAAAGTGACAATCATTACAATATTGTGCTGAAGTGGAGGAAACAAAAAAATATTAATAATTCAACAGTTTTGGTCAATTTTTTATCAAAGAAAAGCTTCCTACATGAATTTATGAATACTTCCCATATCTTGAGGCAAGTCAGAAAATTCTGCAACAGTTGACTTTGTGTAGGATGAGAAAGTAGCTGCAGTTTGATTACTTAAGTGAGGGATAATCCTTTTGTGTATTTTTCATGATAAGTTGATAGTTTTTTCTTGTATTTTCTGTATTGACATGTCGACATGTTACTTTCTATGGCAATATTATAATTTCCAATGAAATTTTGATCAAGAATATTTACTCCTATCAATTAATCTAGTTAATTGTAACATTCTTTTCTAAATAAATTCCACTTCTTCTTCTTCTTCCTGGTTCGGGAAAGGGTCCGGTGCCAAAGTGTGGAATATCCCGGAACTGTGGCGCTATGTACATGCAAATGGATGTCAAAAATTGTGTATTAGGCTACAGAAAACCATTCTTTTCTTAAAAAATTCGTAAAGGTTCCGCAGAACCCAGTGTCTCGCCTACTTTTGCTGTTAATCGCAGGCTCAACAAAAATGAGATGAGGATAAAATTTAATAAAAACATTCCTCTCAATACAATTTTTTTTATTGTAAGAAGCTTCTGTCCAAGTTTGGTAAAAATCCAGAATAGTTTATGAATCTAATAAAAGTTTTAAAAAATTTAACTGCAGACTGTATGTAATGTTAACTGGAAGAAAAACTAAGTCCATTTATAAGTAAAATATGGATAAACAAGTACAAAATTTAATAAAAATTTCCTTCTAGATACTAGCTTTTGATCATAAACAAGCTTCTGTCCAAGTTTGGTAACAATCCAGGATAGTTTGAGAAAGTTATTAAAATTTTAAAAACTTTAACCACAGAGTGAATGTAATGTTTCCTGGCAGAAAAACTAAGTCCATTTATAAGTAAAATACGGAAAAACAGGAATTTTTTTATATACTTCTGGATACTATCTTATGATCATAAACAAGCTTCTGTCCAAGTTTGGTAGAAATCCAGGATAGTTTGAGAAAGTAATTAAAATTTTAAAAACTTTAACCACAGAGTGAATGTAATGTTTCCTGGCAGAAAAACTAAGTCCATTTATAAGTAAAATACGGAAAAACAGGAATTTTTTTTTTACAAAATTTACTTCTGGATACTATCTTATGATCATAAACAAGCTTCTGTCCAAGTTTGGTAGAAATCCAGGATAGTTTAAGAAAGTTATTAAAATTTCAAAAACTTTAACCACAGAGTGAATATTTGTGGACGACGCCGACGGAATGTAGGATCGCTATGTCTCGCTTTTTCGACAAAAGTCGAAGGCTCGAAAAAAATGAAGCTTAAAAAAATTGGGTACATAAATTTTAAAAAATTCGTAAGGGTTCCGCGGAACCCAGTGTCTCGCCTACTTTTGCTGTTAATCGCAGACTCAACAAAAATGAGGAAAAAAATTAATAAAAATATTCCTCTCTGTACACTCTTTTGATTGCAAGTAGCTTCTGTCCAAGTTTGGTAAAAATCCAGGATAGTTTATGAATCTAATAAATGTTTAAAAAAATTAAACTGCAGACTGTATGTAATGTTAACTGGAAGAAAAACTAAGTCCATTTATAAGTAAAATACGGAAAAAATGGAACAAAATTTTAACAAAATTTCCTTCTAGATACTAGCTTTTAATCATAAACAAGCTTCTGTCCAAGTTTGGTACAAATCCAGGATAGTTTAAGAAAGTTGTTAAAATTTTAAAAACTTTAACCACAGAATGAATGTAATGTTAACTGGCAGAAAAACTAAGTCCATTTATAAGTAAAATACGGAAAAAATGGATTTTTTGTTTTACAAAATTTACTTCTGGATACTATCTTATGATCATAAACAAGCTTCTTTCCAAGTTTGGTAGAAATCCAGGATAGTTTAAGAAAGTTACTAAAATTTGAAAAACTTTGACCACAGAGTGAATGTAATGTTTCTTTGCAGAAAAACTAAGTCCATTTATAAGTAAAATACGGAAAAAATGGAATTTTTTTTTTACAAATTTACTTTTGAATATTATCTTATGATCATAAACAAGCTTCTGTCCAAGTTTGGTAGAAATCCAGGATAGTTTAAGAAAGTTATTAAAATTTCAAAAACTTTAACCACAGAGTGAATATTTGTGGACGCCGCCAACGACAACGACGACGCCGACGGAATGTAGGATCGCTATGTCTCGCTTTTTCGACAAAAGTCGAAGGCTCGACAATAAAAATCAGCTTCCTCTAAACATCACAATTTTACCACCATCTTTCACACTTTTTTTTTCAATCAAAACTTTCTGCCCATATCACTAAGCAAAAATTCCAATCTTGTTATAAAACAAACAAGAATAATAAAAAGGCATGGCCACACTCTTAAGGTAGATGGGGGTCTTGATTAAAATCGTTACAATTTTTTTTATAGTTTGCCAAATAGTAGATTATAACATGCATTTTTCATAAAATGATAAAAAGTATGGGTCACAGGTATTTGTTTTTAGCTACAGGTTGGGCAAAATTGTCAGATTTTCTATAGTTTAAACATGGAAAACCCAATTTTCTGTTAAAAGAAAACTAAACGATGGAATATTAAAAAAAATATGAGACGCTGGCTCTATTAATGAGCTTTCAGAAAATCAAAAGAAAAATTGGGGTTAAGGAACTCATTTTCTTGCTACAAAACAAAATGCATAAATTCATAACACATTCCTTAAAAAAAGTTAAGTTATCTAAGTTATCTCAAATTAATTCAAATAGTTAAAGTCCCGTAACTCTAGAACAACAAAACAAAAACATTTCAAAATCAAAAAGGAGCTTTCTTCAGTCAATCCTAATGTTGTATGAAAATTACATGAGATTTGGTTAAAGCAAGTATGAGTTATCGTATGAAGTGTTGAATGACGTACAGACAGACATTGGTTTACCATAATATGTCCCGTTTTCAACAGGCATATAATAAAAATGATTAGACCAAATGAGTTAAAACAACTGACTGAATAAAAACTTACTTGCACAAGGACAATAGAACCGGACTTCATAATCATCACAGTTTCCACCATTTTCATAGTTCAAACATTTTAACCCTGTATTTACGTCACATGTTACAGTCTGTCCTCTGGTAGTGTAGTCTGTGTGTGATTTGACCTCTCTGCACTCAATATGAACTGGGTTGTAACAGAAAGTATGCAAAGTTCTGATCTTGGAAATGGTTTCAATGTCACCTTCAGATGTCAAAGGTGTATCCATGTTAATCCAGTGTGTCCAGAAACACTGAGGATGTGTAACAGGGATTGCTATAAGAGAAGAAAAATATTGTCTTACTTCTCCTCAATCCTTTATTACCCTATTTAAAACTTATTCTTAACATTTTTTACTTTAGAAAATGTCTAAGAATAAAAAGGCTTTTTGTGTTTTTTGCTGTGCATGAACTGATTTTGTGTCATGGATGGATACCCCACATCCTTTGTTTTTCTATCTTATTTGATATGAAAGTGATTACAAAATAATCTACATTTTAAAATAAAATACAATGAGCAACAAATATATTCTGAATTTAAGAATTAATTCCAGGGGTTTGAATTCATGTTGATTTTACCACGGGTTGGCCCTTCATGATAAATATTTTAGCAAGGGTAAATATCCACATGAAGGGCCAACCTGTGGTAAAATTAATATCAATTCATGTCCCAATGAAATATTCTATTCTAATAGGACAAAGACAGTAGTTCTTTTGGATCCAAGCACTCTTGGTGAAGGCAATTTCTTGCTGTTCCCTTGATTAAACAGGCTATCAGTATGGTACTGTAAATTCAAAAATTATTGTATGCATTTATTATTGCGATTTTTTAATAATGGACAAAAATGCGACATTAATTATTGGGATTTCAGCAAAATCTCCATACAGATATATGCGATATTATTGCGATCATCACCCATTTTTGTTAAAATTACTAAAAAGCTCCCAATAATATTAGAATTTACAGTATTTACATAAAAGTCAAAGAAAACTGAATAAGTGACATGCTTAAACGATCTACAATAACATACTTAGATAGGTTGGACAAATATTAATGTTTACGTGTATCTTACTTTTATTTAAGAAAATGGGTTTTAAACAAATTCTTATCATCATTTGTTTATGTTTCCCGATTTCAGTTTCACATTCGTGCATTTTCCTGTAAAATGCTTATATTCTTATGTTATCGTTCAATGACATCATTTACACAGATTGACCTTGGTAACTCATTAATAACAAGAATGTGTCCGTGAAATTGGGGACAAAACTCTAATTTGGCATTAAAATTAGAAAGATCATATCATAGGGAACATGTGTACTAAGTTTCAAGTTGATTGGACTTCAACTTTATCAAAAACTACCTTGACCAAAAACTTTAACCTGAAGCGGGAAAGATGGACGGATGGACCGACAGACGCAGAGACTGAAAAACATAATGACCTTAGGTGCTGCATAACAACCATACAACATGGGAGTATGATTGGAACAGCTCAAACAAATCATGATGTTGCCGATCACCTGACATGCAATATATTTGTATTTTACCATGGGTGTGTCATATTTGAAAACTTCATATACATTTTTAGTATTGTAAAAGTTTTATGATTTGGTCTATTAAAATGAGATTTCTTTTTGTAATAAGGGCCTATTATAAAGCAATCTTAACACTATCCATGTGTTGGAAGAATGGAATAAAACTGGAGAGAAATAAAGAAAAATGAGCAATAATGATTGTTGTTTGCTAAATGTCAAGTGGCAAATATTACATGCATATTCGGGATGAGATATAGAGAATAATACATGGCAAAAATCTGTATCACATGCTGTATCATCCCGAGATACCAATATCAGCCCGAGGGCCTTTAGGCCCGAGGGATGATATTGGTCGAGGGTGATACGGCATGTGGTAAGGATTTTGACATGTTTTATACGCTCTATCATATATTTAAACAGGAGAGTATATATGAACTGCTTTCTGATCCCTAGCATCTGGGTTAACTTCAGATTTACTTTTGTCTTGTTTTAAAAGAACTGCTTAATTATTCACCTGAAGCACCTGGGTTACCTTACAATTTGCGTCCTGTTGTTCATAGAAATATTTTGTTTATTGTATTTTTTTGTGTTTTGTATGGTATTTCATTGAGTTCTTTTTTATAGTCAGAAAATATGAAAGCTCAACGTCTGTGACGTCACATGCCAAACAATGACGTCATTCGATAAATGACGTCACGCCCTAATGACTGTTTCATTTTAAGGACCCATTGAGGAAAAATATTTCTTAGAAACTTGCATAAATAAAAACATAGACTTCATGTAAATTTAGTCGGAATCACTACTGTAATAGATGAGAAATTTGAGTAGGGATGTGATAAAGGGGTGTGATAAAAGGTGCGCATCAAAGTTGAGCGATACAGATTAATCAGCAGGCTATATATCAAATATTCAAAACTACTGTATTTACTACTAAATATATTATAAAGACTAATAATAAAAACTATTTAAATCTATATATTACTGAATGATTTGAATTATTTAGGAAATGTTTTGATATTCTGTAAACATTTAAAAAAGAAAAACAAAATTACTGACATATTCAATTTAGAAATCCCCCTATATAATCTGTGTTTGTCTGAGAATATGCATTCTTACGTTTATATGGAGTTGGTGATGGTGTTGAACAAGTCTCATCTTTTGTACAGGTAACTGTATTGTTGAAACAGTGACATACTGAACAGTAGTCATTTGGATTGTTCCATTTTTCTAGTGGCTGTATGAAATATAATATGTTATAAATAAGAAAAAAAAGCACAAAGGGTCATCTTTGAGACAAAGACAGAGCTTTAAGTAAATGTTTTTTCCAAACATTATTAGCAAATTCATACATAAGTCAAAATAGAGACTTCCAAGACAAAATGTACTGGGCACATATATATATGGGATCTTGAAGTACACCCATAACTACTTTAAAAGTATGTATGAAACAGGGAGACAAAAATCTAAAAAGGAAGTATAATATTGTTTATGAGAGAGAGTCTGTCATTCTATATCATTTTCATTAAAAAATTTGCATGGGGTTCCATGGCCTGCAATTACTGCAGTCAGTGCAGAAGTGTAATGTTGACTGCCAAAAACCAAGTCTAGTATTCAGTAAAACACAGGGGAAAATAGAAATTTTTTCTCCAGGTGCTAATTCTTGATCTGGAAGAAGTTTCATAACATTCCATGAAGGTTTAACAAAGTTTTTGATAACTTAAAAATAGAATCCCAGACTGTATGTTAACATTAAAAAACTAAGACTATTTATCAGTAGAATAGTGAATACTCAAAAAATTATTTTCTAGTTTTGCATCAGACATTATCACTTAATCATAAAAAAGCATATGCCAAAAATCTAAGAATGTCTGACAAATTTAAGTTATTGATGTCTAAAACCCTTTTATCCCCAAATTGTGTTTAAATGTTAACTGCAAAAAATTATAGGCTCTAAAGAGCCTGTGTCGCTCACCTTGTCTATGTGCATATTCAACAAAGGACACTCTCCAACATTGTAGACAAGAATAGAATTAATGACAAAAATATCTTTTTTGTTGATATTGCATTACTGATCCTTTTGTCTGTTTAGTTTCCCTCTATCTTCTTTCATTAAGTCTTTGCTCAAAACACAAAAGAGGACAAAAAAATCCTCATAAAGGGCAATCACTTCTATAAAGATTGACAGTCTACTAACTATCGGGTAAACATTTAATTTGGCTTGTTTGTAGATCTTGCCTTGCTAATCATTTTTGTTATTTAAAGTTTCTATTTATCAATTATAATTTTTAATCATAGAAGGCAAAACCCAAAATAATTGGTATAAATCGTCAATAAAGGGCAATAACTCAAATAAGGAGGCGTCAGACGATTTCCTCCATAGAATCTTAATTGTAGATCTTGTCTTCTGATAATTTTTGCTCAATTAAGTTTCTATCTATCTATTATAAATTTTATCATATAAGGCAAAACACAATAAAGAGCTGCGCCATGAGCGCATGATAGACCCGTCGCTTTTTCAACGAATAAAGTTCCGTAACCACTCAATATCACATCAGAATTTATAAAAAAAAAACCAAAGGGAGGTTATTTTAATAGATATAAACCAGTCACTAAAGTTTCATGAAAACTGCTCAATGCACTTTTGAGTTATTGACCGAAAACTGGAAAATCTCTTTTTTATGAATAAAATCTCGCAACTCAGAAACATAAAATCAAAAATTTATAAAAATGGAAAGGGACCTTAAGTCAATAGATATACACAATTCACCAAAGTTTCATGAAAACTGCTCAAAGCATTTTTGAGTTATTATCCCAAAAACTTGAAAATCACACATTTTTAATGAATAAAACCCCATCACTCAGAAATGTAAAATTTATGAAAATCCAGAGGGAGCTTATGTCAATAGATATAAACAATTCCCAAAGTTTCATGCAAATTGGTTTAAGCGTTTTTGAGTTATTGTCCGACATGTTGACGACTGACGGACAGACAACGGTATACCATAATACATCCCGTAAACAGACGTATATAAATTGGTAAAAATGGTCATCAAAGGGCAATAACTCCAATAAGGAGGATAACTGCAAAAAACTAAGAGGCTCTAAAGAACCTGTGTCGCTCACCTATGTCTATGTGCATATTCAAAAATGGACCTTCTCCAACATTGCAGACAAGAATAAAATTCATCTCTTTTTGGTTGATCTTGTTTTGCTAATCATTTTGTCTGTTTCTCTCTATTTTCTTTAGTTTTTGCTCAAAACACAAAAGAGGGTAAAAAAAATCCTCATTTAAGGGCAATCACTCCTATGAAGAGTGACAGTCTACTAACTATATCAGCAAAATTTGACTTGTTTATGGATCTTGCCTTGCTGATCATTTTTGTTATTTAAAGTTTCTATTTATCTATTATAATTTTTATCATATAAGGCAAAATGCAAAAAAATTGTAAAAATCGTCATCAAAGGGCAATAACTCCAATAAAGAGTTGTCCGAAAATTTCCGATATTAGTCTTAAATGTAGATCCTGTCTTGCTGATCATTTTTGCTTATTTAAGAGTCTATCTATCTATTATAATTTTTAAGATATAAGGCAAAAACGCAAAATATTGGTAAAAATCATCATCAAGGGGAAATAACTTTTATAAGAAGTCGTCTGACAGTTTTGACGATAATGAACAATTGGTAGAGCTCAACATTTTGAACATTTTTGCCATTGCCAGATCTTCTCTTTTTATAATGGTTTTCAAAATAATAGACAAAACTTGCATTTTACCCCTATGTTCTATTTTTAGCCATGTCGGCCATCTTGGTTGGCAGGCTGGGTCATCGGACACATTTGTTAAACTAGATACCCCAATGATGATTGTGGCAAAGTTTGGTTAAATTTAGTCTAGTAGTCTCAGAGGAGAAGATTTTTGTAAAAGTTAACAAACGACGACAACGGACTACAGACGCTAAGTGATGAGAAAAGCTCACTTGGCCCTTTGGGGCAGGTGAGCTAAAAATGTTTTGCTCTGGATACTGTTTTTTTATCACAAAAAAGCGTCTGTCCAAGCTTCAAATTGTAAGAAGGTTTGACAAAGTAAGTGATGTCTAAAAACTTTAACCACAGACTATAAACCTAAATGTTAACAATGCAGACTACCGAATGTAGAATCGAAATGTTGCAGGCTTAACAAAAAGAAACAAGAGAAATCTACCTTGGCAATAGTTCCATCTTGTTTCCTACATGGGCACATGGACTGCTGTACACAAGTAATCTTATCCATTAACTTCTCTCCAGGAACACAAGCATGTTTGGCTGGTCTACACAGAGGTACACATGTACCTAGGGACTGTTTACATGTGTCAATTAATTGTGCCATGTTGTCACAGAGGTCGCCACATTTGTATGCACATGGTTCCAAGGTCTCACCAGGTGCGCAGATTGCTGTAAATAGAAATAATTAATTTTTGGTCTATAGACCTATTTCTTATATCTGTTAACAAAAAGTATAAAAATAATGACATATTTCTGTTAATAAAACTGATGAACATAAAGTACGTCTCACATGAATTAGTTCTAATGATATTCATAGCTTTTGAAAACTTTTAATAACACTGGTAATACTTACATGACATTGGCTTAAAGTATTTGTCATTTGTGATTATTTACTATATATTTCATATACAATTATAATACATTTGTTCAAAAAATATATTGTGGGGACATTTCTGGTCAGATTTTAATCAACTTGGTACCAACAGAAGCAGAATCGTCACAGGCTCATTTCTTTGTTTGGTTATATTATTGTTGTGGGGCGCTCTCATTTTCTGATGATATAAACACATGTATCATTTTTGTTCATAAATTTGCTATACCGGTTTATTACAACCTAATTAGATTAAAATATTATGCATATAAAATTAAAGAGTAGGATTGCCAATGAGACAACTATCCACCCAAGTTCAAATGAAGTGGATGTAAGCAATTATAGGCAAACGTACCGTACCAATTCAAATCATATGTTCATATATCAAGGAAAAGAGCAAACAAAAATAATTGATGACAAAACTATGACCAAATTAACTATGTAGATGAAAATACTTTAGCCCTGCATGCACTGTACCTCTACATTGAGTTATTGACCATTTTCAGGTTATTAACATATATTGACTATATTCTGAAGATTTGTTATTTTTAACTATTTGTAAATGAACCATTCTCATTCTCCAAATATGAATATATATATAAAATAAGGAGATGTGGTATGATTGCCAATGAAACTATCCACCCGGAGACCAAAGGACATGGATGTAGGCAACTAAAGGTTTATGGTCTTCAACAATGGAAGTGTGTTTCAATCAAAAACAAAAAATCAATTCTGTTTTCATAAAAAAAAGATGTTTTAAATCTCACATTCTCTTTATGGAAATTCTACTTTTAAATTAATATATATTTCTTGAACTTATAAAATTTCAGCCCGTTCATCAAGAAATTATAATTACTACCACTAGTAACACAGATGCTTACGTGTAGTTGACTGACTGAACTGTGAAACCGCTGTTGTGTCTGGATTGACTGAAATAAACACATACATACATGTACCCATTTAATTGTTCTTATACTGATAACTTTACAATATTCCTTATAGGAGCAACTGCCAACAATCTTCATATACATAAATAAACATAGTTTTTTTCTGGTCTGGTAAATTGCAGTTCTAATTTTCCAATTGAAAATCAGAATCAATAGTTCAATCAGTGATAGTACTGTAAAATACTTTAATAAAGTTTGGTATTTACCAAATTTTTAATAATTTTTTTTAAGACTTGGATATGGCTTTTTTTTTTCATATCAAAATATTGGTCAGATGATTTCAAAATAAGACAGATTTAACAGTTTTAGCAATTCTTATTGAAAACAATAACTTGAAAACCAAAATAAACATTAATTTTTGTCAAACCTAAACATTTTCCTGCCATGATAGTTCAAACATTTTTGCTATCATTTTTTTAAACATAATTTTACATTCTCAGGTTGTGCATTATTTGGTTTTTGTGGAAACAAATGAAATCGACATCAACAGTAGGGCACTACACAAGTAGAAGATGTTATGTAAATTTTGAAAGAATATCAGTGATTTCAAAACTTTGATGAAGCCATGTTATGAATGTTTAGATTTAATCAAAATCAATTACTAAAGTAAACAGGACCATAAGAAATACAAAAATAAGTACTTCGTAAACAGAAACCTACTTTAATTGAACTCTATAATTCAAGTCAAAGGAAGACGACAAAACTGTTATACTTTTCTGAGGTTCTTAGATATCTGAGGTCGTGAGTTACATGTTTTTACATTTCAATTTTGTAATATGTATTCAACCTGGTATGTTGAGGTGGAAGATGTCTTTTAGTATCCAAATCCGTCTACATCATTAGTACATGTAGTAATTTGAAAAAAAAATTATTTCATAAAAAACGAGAATGAATAAAGAGTATATATATATCTGTTGTTTACAAAGATAAGAAATATAATATATGGATGTCCTTGACAAACAAAACAAATTGTTGCAGATGTTTGTATTAAACTTTCCTGTTTGCCCCTATCTCATAATCTGTTGAGGTTAAGTCTTAATCTTTTTTACACAACTTCTATCTGTTTAATAATTATTTTAAGGATCCTCTAATCTTTTATCATGTTTATGCATTTTCTCTGATTTGGTATATTAATTTTTTCTGCAATCATTTGTGTTCCAAAAATATGTTTTTTAAACATCAAAGGTGTCAACAAACAACAAGTTTTACATGCCTATGATTCGAAGATGTGGTCAAAATTTGTTTTCGTTTCCCTAGCCGCCATTTTTATTAGCAATTATAATTAATTGCTTGTCATTGTATAACCCCTATTGCATTTTAATCCAAAGGGTCAAACACAATTTATATAAACAAGTACAAAATTAGACTCTTAATCCTAAAACACAGAACATAATTTCACGCCAAATAACATGAGTACAACAATTATCTATCAAATTGAATTACTTTACAAGTGTAAAAGTAAATACATGAATTAACTGCAACTTGAAAATCTGACGAAATTTCCTATCATAATAATTCTGAATTCATTCATAGTTTACAATCAAATTAATACATCCCGCTTACATTTACAATCAAAAGATTCATGATGTATTACTATGGCATTTGCAATCTTATATCATTAAATCCACAAGTCTTTATTTAACGTTTTACAAAAATTGGTATGAAACTTAATGCTATATAACGTCGATTGAGTTTGACAGTAAGAAAAACAATCACAAAATTTAAGACCTAACACAATTACTAGAATAGCGAAAAAACGACTCAGGAACCTTCTAACAGGACAATACTCTGACGTTAACAGGACAATTAAATTGTGGTCATCCTTAATTAAAAGGTGCCAGGCTTGACATTGGAATTGTTACAAATGACAATTAATGAAAGTACATGTATTGGTTATTCTATAATGAAATTAATATAATAAACAATATATCAGCAAAGTTGCCAACTGACATGATATTCACGTGTAATACACGCTTTTTCAACGGTTTACACGCGAGGATTTTGTAAGTAGTTTGTGATTAGTTTTTACGATTTTGTGATTTTCTTTCTTTCAAATTCACGTAGGGGAAATGTCCACAGAAAGAGGTCTCTTTCAGGACCTGTACCGTCGTCTAAAGAGCCGATTGTTAAGTGAAAACGATGTGTACGTCTAAGAATAAGATTCAAGATTTATAAATTATATTTGTGAGTTAGATTTTAAATGATCAAGAAACGAGTAACGCATTGTGCACCATATGTTGCAATCATAACAATACATGTGAGAGGAGAACTACAATGGAGCTATTTGATTAAGCATTTAACGTGTTGAATGGTAATCAAATAATAAAAATTTTTGTTTTTCGGTTTCAAATCTAGCCAGCAGATTTCTACAGGCCATAGGGGATGGAAATATCACGGAACTGTTGGATCAGTTCTCATAGTACCAGCTGTCTTCTGATGAACTACCTAGTTTTGAACAGGCAATAGCAACATATATAGTTTGTTGGGAGCAATGGCAGAGATAATAGATGACATTTTAGAACGCAAAAAAACGTTATGACACTCTTTCAAAGCTTGATAAAGCTATTTTAGTTCAGCCAATATCAATTCTGAATGTGACAGAGCATTTTCAATTATAAAGAAATTCACACTGAATTCTGATCAGGACTTGACAATGATATATTGTGTGCCTTGTTATCAAGTAAATGTAACCAAACTGGCAGTTGTTTTGAATTTGTACCTAGTGGTGTTGCTTTAAAAGCAGCAAAACAGACCACTGTTGAATACAATAAAAGTTTATAGTAGAATATTGTTTTTTATATTAACAAATTTGTATATAAATGTGAAATTATGAACATTGTTCATATTAAAAAGTCTGCATCTACATCGCGCGTTTTCACACGCTTTTTGACATGTCATGTCATGTCATGACATGATTTTTCATTGCCAGAGGTTGGCAAGTATGTATATCAGTCTATTCACTATTATTTACAATGAAATGGAGGAGTGAAATAATTTCGATTACCACACACAAGGTTTTGTCCTGGTGAAAGTTCCTCCATGGTTAAATTTTCATCCATGGAGATCCCTGAATTACATTGACTTATCCAAGTTTTCGTCACAACCGAATCGAGACAAGGTTGGACTATACTTAATAAATTGTTCTTACACTTAATTTTATAATTACCAGCTACAAAAAATGAAGTATATGTCAATATATTGACTTCATCAAAACCAAACCTTTTCAGAACAATATTTTATTTGGAAAACACAAATGCTTGGTTTATACAAGTTGAATTTTAAAAGATGTTTGTTACATGTCCTTGATTAATAGTTAAAATTCAGATAGCATTCCCTTTTAGGCAGAGTTCAGCATAGATAAGTTTAACTATACTTACATTGTGAGGTCTGTTTGTTGGATTGTGGTTGTGAAGTGCTTGAGAGACTTTTGTTGCCTATAAATAGAAATATAAAGAACCAATTTATAGGTATATATGACTAAAAATATTGCAGGGATTCTCTGAAATATTTGTGTGGTTATAGCTTTTGTTTAACAGAAAGATTTCCATAGAAAAGAAATCATAAATATGAAAATCTGGCTTAAAGAAGAAAGAAGCCATAAAATTTTCACATCTTTATAGGATTCTTAAAGTTGATCATGTTTTTATCTAAAACTGTAATTCTTTTAGCGTAAATTTTATCACTACATGTTTTCAGTAAAGATTTTAAAACACCCATGTTTACTGAATGATTAAAAATATATATGCTATCTAGTTGCGACTGAAATGGTAATTCAAATGAAACAATTGAAAATACCGTCTTTCGTTGTGTAAAGTATGTGGGTTTTTACCCTGAGAATGATTTCTGGAAAGGGGGGTGTGTATTATGTATGGCTACACTGTTCTTTAGACTTTTTTCAGGTTGAATTCCAACCAAGAAACCAGATGGTCTGGAGGAAAATATTTTCGTAGCATAAATTTGATTGTTATTTGTTTTACATGTATATTTGTACCTTTTTGTATCTGATTTGTAATGTTATATGCAAATAAAAATCATTTAAATGCTTTAGTAGTTGTTTTTTGCATTTTCTTGTGTTCTCCGTTGCCGCCCGGAAGTTGCATTTGATCATATCCAAATGAGAGATGAAGGACTCTGTCAATGACCAAATTATTGTAGATGTTTCCCAAGTTTATTACTTACTTTGTATATGTGTTCTAACAAGGAATACAGAAGGTAAATGTATGAAAATTGAATTAAAACATGCCCGTTTGATGATAGCGACCGCCATTGTTTTTTTTACTTTCGTAGTATCAGGTGATCAAATCTCATGTGACTTTCTTAACGTTGTAAAGTTGAATAAAGTGATGATTTCAAACATCTTTTTACTTTGTAATATATTTTAAAAAACCTTCATAAAAATCATAATTGCAGACATGTCAATGCCATCTTAAACTGTATGGATTTGATTAGGGAACAAAATTAATCTGTCAATTGATAATTTTTGACAACAATTGATATTCATTAAGGGTGTCATAATCAGGATTTAACGATTCAATGAGTACCAACAAACAAAAAATAAAATTAGCAGAGATTAATATTTATATCAGCACTAATTTATCAACATAAATATTACAATTTATGTATTTATTGTGGAGTTAGGAATATTTGTAATGATTCCGTATTCCGTACAAGATTCACAGACTGTATTTGCATTTAAACAACTTCCCGATTTAACACGTCCTGTTGTTCTCAATCAAACGCATCCGTGGAAACAATAAAGAATCAAACATCGATAATTTTAAATTACTTATTCTGCAGCAATTTTTTCATTATCCTGTATTAAACCAGTACTGGAGTTCTATTTGTCTCTGAAAAACATCACTTTTCAATGGATGCATTTTACTGAGTTTCAAGTTTGGATTTTTCCAGAAAGTCCCTGCGTGTTAAGCACAAGAAGAAATTTTTTTCTCAAGTTTCAAGGGCGAAAAAGGGGGTGAATACTATGCATGAGTGCATTTTATACACACCAAAAGACGGTAACAATAATTTGACCATGCATGTACCTTACTGCAGTTTTCTCATTAACTTACATGAATCATCCCAGCATTTTACCCTGACTTCATAGTCATGACATTGGAAGCTGACTTGATCTCTATTGAAACAACGTAGTCCATTCTGGATGTCACATGTGACAGAATCTTGTGATGCTGAGGTAGAAGAACCATTGTCTCTGATTCTGCATTCAATATCAATAATACTTGGACACAATCCAAAATGTTTTTTAAGGTTTTCTATAGTTTCCATGTCACCACTTGTAGGTGCATTTGTGGGAGAAGTACTGCTAAGCCAGTCTGACCAAGCACATCTTACATAAGTTAGTTTGCTTGTGTTTGGGGCTTCTGTAGTCAGTGGAGTTGGGCTCTTTGTACCTATAAAGAAATTTAAGGAATTTTTATCAATTATGTATCATATTTAGATCATCGCTTCAAAAACAGTCATATTGTCCAGATAAGTCCTAGAAAATTCATTTTTGTCTAAATGTCAGTCAGCCGAAACAGATCCCAAATGTTTGCCACTTTCATATATAATTAAGGAAACAAATTATGTTTAGGCAATCCTTTCTTCTAGCCTTATTCCCTATGAAAGGCACACTTTTCTGGTTATAAAATGACATGAGGAGTATTTACTGTAAATACAATCCCTTATTAAGTACTCAGCATTAAAATTGTTATTCTTGTTGAAACGTAGAGATGAGCAACAACACGTTAAATTTTAACGATGCCTTATCATATTTTAACGACAGTGTTAGACCTAACAACAAGTTGAACAACTGGGTGACATATAAGTTATATAGTACTTGACAAGGATTGATCTTTTTGAAATTGTTTCTAATGTCAAACTGGTTTGCTTTTAAATAACTTCAGCAATAAATGTTATAAAAGTTTATTACAAAATATTGAAAAAGATTGAATTTAAAAGGTGTTTGAGCTTAAAATCAATAGAACCGTGTTGTTTACATATAAATGTACAAGTGTGCACATGCACACATAGTAACATTTCATTATGCAGCTATAAGATATTAAAATTAATACAAAAAAAATAATAAGTTATACCATTTATATATATGTCCTTCTCCATATTAACTTGAAGAAATAATGTGGATCACATTGATTTCAATTTCTCATTGGCAAGCAGGAGTATCAAACTAGAGGCTCTAAAGAGCCTGTGTCGCTCACCTTGGTCTATGTGCATATTAAACAAAGGACACAGATGGATTCATGACAAAATTGTGTTTTGGTGATGGTGATGTGTTTTGGTGATGGTGATGTGTTTTGATGATGGTGATGTGTTTGTAGATCTTACTTTACTGAACATTCTTGCTCCTTACTATTATCTCTATCTATAATGAACTTGGCCCGGTAGATACAGTGGAAAATACTTTGTAAAAATTTACAAAAATTTACAAAATTTATGAAAATTGTAAAAAATTGACTATAAAGGGCAATAACTCCTTAAGGGGTCAATTGACAATTTTGGTCATGTTGCCTTATTTGTAGATCTAACTTTGCTGTACATTATTGCTGTTTACAGTTTATCTCTATCTATAATAATATTCAAGATAATAACCAAAAGCTGCAAAATTTTCTTAAAATTACCAATTCAGGGGCAGCAATCCAACAATGTGTGGTCTGATTGGTCTGATAATTTCAGGGCAGATAGATCTTGACCTAATGAACAATTTTACCCCCATGTCAGATTTGCTCTAAATGCTTTAATTTCAGAGATATGAGCCAAAAACTGCTTTTTACCCTATGTACTATTTTTTAGCCATGTCGGCCATCTTGGTTCGCGGGCGGGGTCATCGGATACGTTTTTTAAACTAGATACCCTAATGATGATTGTGGACAGTTTGGTTAAATTTGTCTTAGTAGTTTCAGAGGAGAAGATTTTTGTAAAAAATGACAAAAATTTACGAAAAATGGTTAAAAATTGACTATAAAGGGCAATAACTCCTTAAGGGGTCAACTGACAATTTTGGTCAAGTTGACTTATTTGTAGATCTTATTTTGCTGAACATTATTGCTGTTTACAGTTTATCTCTATCTATAATAATATTCAAGATAATAACCAAAAACGGCAAAATTTCCTTAAAATTACCAATTCAGGGGCAGCAACCCAACAACAGGTTGTCCGATTCATCTGAAAATTTCAGGGCAGATAGATCTTGACCTAATAAACAATTTTATCCCATGTCAGATTTGCTCTAAATGCTTTGGTTTCAGAGATATAAGCCAAAATCTACATTTTACCCCTATGTTCTATTTTTAGCCATGGCGGCCAGACACATTTTTTAAACGAGTTACCCCAATGATGATTGTGGCCAAGTTTGGTCAAATTTGGCCCAGTAGTTTCAGAGGAGAAGATTTTTGTAAAAGTTTACGGACGACGGACGCAGGACGACGGACGCAAAGTGATGAGAAAAGCTCACTTGACCTTTCAGGTCAGGTGATCTAAAAAGTGGTTCCTAGAGGCAACACCATGGGGTGAGTTGTGTTCAAAGTTGCAAACACGTTGAATCTAAATCACCCCTTAGACCACTAGACAGAGACTTGGCAAACTTGCAACTTGAAAAAATACCTAAACTGAAACTGAGGTTGTGCATTTTTTGATAGTATAGATTTCTAAGTTTTCCCGAACACAAAGACACACAGGTATCTTTAATGTGATTTAGCAGCATTGTAACATCTGCAATAACACTCCACATAATCCTACCAAACTTGTGGACACTGCAGAAAGTGAAGTTATAGGTTAAAAGGAAGTAATTAAAGATGACTGGTGCCACCTAGTTTTTACATCCAAGATAATAAGGTAGAATTAAATTTGTTTTCTGCTGCCCTGTTAATTAGACTACAAAATTGAAATAGTGAGAAATGAGTGTTGGCTATTGATGGAGAAATAGTAAGAAATTTGGAGGAAACTTTCTGTGATGAGCAAAATTTTCTGTGGAAAATTAAGCAAGGGGTGTTTTTCATTCATACTACTGGTATTTCAAAAATTCCAAAACCATAGAGTACCCTTTATCTATCAAAAAAGCTGTGGTACCATATGTATTTTTCAGTTTTATTCACATCCAAAGGTGATGAAAATTCAGAATCTGACAGTTTTTTCAACAGATTCTTTATAGTGAAAATGCAGAACCCAAAAAGGCTACCATTATCGCCTATGTAAATAATTACTACATTTTAACCAGCACACCTATTTATTTTTTTTATGTCCAAGATTCTTATAGCTAAACATAAAAAATACAGGTAATACATGTCCTCCATGAAATAATAACTTATAACTTTTCAAATTAGGAAGATATGATTTTTCAATATTACATACCTTTATTATATGTTTCACTATAATAGGGATAAAAACCTAAGTAGTGTCTACACTAACCTGTTTCATTGGCACAATCACAATAATATCTGATCTTGTAATCAGAGCAAGGAATAGGGAAATTATCTGCATTGGTACACAAGAATCCATGCTCCTTATTGCAATATCCAACCTTCTCTCCACTACTGTAATATGGGATGTGATTTTCACTGTCCACTGCACATTCCACTTGAGTAACATTCCCTCCATAACAGAATCTCTTCAATTCTTCTGGGGTCATAAATTCATGATCAGAGACTCCAATGTCAGGTTTGTCTCTGTTTATCCATGGACTCCATTTACTCACTACACATCTCTGTTGGGGAGGTGTTGGTGTTGTTCCTAATGTTGGTTCCATTGTGGTAACAGTAAATCCTTGTTTTGGTGTTGGTTTTTCTATCAATTGATATGTAATTTAAAGTTGCTTTAAAGTGCACACATGTTTTGTCCTGCTCTTATTCAATAATATTTGCTTTTAATTCAAATATTATAAAGTTTCTTTGCATAAAATAACTTTGACAAGGACTAAATTTTCAAAACGTCTAATTTTCAACTTATAATCATTAACACTTTGAAATATTGTGTATTTTATCTTAATGCAGTAATTATCAGACATGCCAACTAGCCTGATTTATGGGGGATATCCCCCATGAGAGGTGTTGACCTGAATTTTGAAATTCTTTGTTTGATAAACTGAACACCTCAAAACAGGCATTCAAATGAAGTTTATTACAGGAAAATGCTAAATTTTGTAAGAAATATTTGCTTTTAACATTTTTGGTACAATCAAAAATATAAGTTTCAGAAAAAACATACCTGTAGTAATTGGAAATGAAGAATTTGTTGTCTTAGGTGTAGGAGTTGCTAAAATAATTTGATTGATATATCATATAATATAAAATATATTAGTATAAATAAAAGAAGATGTCAGGTATATATATATATATAATTTATTTATTGTGTACGTGTATCACTACTCGTAACGATCCAGGCTCTCGTGGGAAAAATCGTAGACTATTATTCAGACTATATATATAAATATAAGTGCCTATAAAATAGCAACACATAAAATACAAATCTATTTGAATGTGGATTTATCAGTACAAAGATTAATACAATTACACAAATGAAATTATAAATTGCCTAGCAATGGTATTTTAACACACTATTTAGTATGTAAATATTAAAATGTTTAAAATATTTACAATGCGATAAAAAATCAACGCGATATTTCGCTAGACAAATTAGCTTCATCAAGTGTACATCTATCCAGGTGAAATCGGATGCAGATAAGAAACTTTTGCAGCTCATTGTACAGTGAATTTTTGATGCTATAAATAAATTAAAAATTTGAATATATATATATATATACATAATTACTCTAAATATCAGCACAACAATGCTAAATCTGCAAATTTGGGGAAGCAAATTTTTATTCTTCCCTCACCGGGATTCGAACTCATGCTATTGGGATATCGAGACAACACCGCCTGCACTGTGTCCAGTGCTCTAGACCACTAGCCCACCTAGATTGAACTATAATTCAGCTTTCGGTGGCCTAGTGTTACCTTTACTCGTCAGTAGAATCTAGAGTTGTAACACAGTACATGATATACTAGGCATGAAGATGGAATTGATTGCAGATTAGCTAAATATCTATCGTAAAGGATCGTAAGAGACTGTGAGTCACAGAAATTATTATTGTGATAAGTACATCTAAACAAGTGACAACTCTATGACAGATCCATTCATTGGATCACCAGTGAAGGTGATACACGGCTGAAAACACATATTATATTCACAATTACTCTAAATATCAGCACAACAATGTTAAATCTGCAAATTTGCGGAAGCAAATTTTTGTTCTTCTATATATATATATATAAAAGACAGTTATTCAATGATTAAAAAGATAAAAAAAACACATACAAATTTACAGATACACTAATCGAAACAATCATATTAATATTACTTTTGAACTATATAAAATATCATTAAAATGTTCAAAAGGAAATTATATAACATTTGCTCCCTGAAACGGCCACAATTAAAACCTCTGAACTACAACTAGTTTTGGTAAATCTTGGAAATTTCTGGTGGAATATCTTTGAACCCATGACATTTTCAGCTAGCATACAAAACAGATACCTTCATGACAAGTCATTTTTTAACAGTACTAAGTAACATACAACATTCTTAAAGTAAGTTCAATAGAGAGCTACGCCATGAGCGCATGATACGTCCATCGCTTTTTCAAAGAATAAAGTTCCATAACTCCTCAATGTCATATCAGAAATTTATAAAAAATCTAAAGGGAAGTTATTTTAATAGATATAAACCAGTCACCAAAGCTTCATGAAAACTGCTCAAAGAACTTTTGAGTTATTGTCCGAAAACTGGACAATCCCCCTTTTTTAATGAATAAAACCCCATAACTCAGAAACGTAAAATCTAAAATTAAATAAAATGCTCCGCAGGGCGCAGCTTGATACGACCGCAGAGGTCGAACCCTGAACAGTTGGGGCAAGTATGGACACAACATTCAAGCTTGATACAGCTCTGAATTTGGATTGTGATTAAATATTTGAACAGCATAGGTTTCTGACACAGAATGAATGTGACCTCTTTAAGAACTTAAAAATTTTAAATTGGACATTCACCTTTTATGGTCCAATATCCAAAATCTAAATAAATGGTTAGATTCAGCATATCAAAGAACCCCATATATTCAATTTTTGTTGAAATCAAACAAAGTTTAATTTTAGACCCCGATTTGGACCAACTTGAAAACTGGGCCCATAATCAAAAATCTAATGTTTAGATTCAGCATATCAAAGAACCCTAAGAATTCAATTTTTGTTAAAATCAAACTAAGTTTAATTTTGGACCCTTTGGACCTTAATGTAGACCAATTTGAAAACGGAACCAAAAATTAAGAATCTAAATACACGGTTAGATTCGGCATATCAAAGAACCCCAATAATTCAATTTTTGATGAAATCAAACAAAGTTTAATTTTGGACCCTTTGGACCTCAATGTGGACCAATTTAAAAACGTGGCCCAAAATCCAAAAACTTAATACACGGTTAGATTCAGCATATTAAAGAACCCCAAGAATTCAAGAATAAAACCCCATTGAAATTGGTCAAGAAATAAGCAATTTAGACGAAGTATCTTCTTTTGCACAATACTGTGCAATTGAATATTTCTTGTTATTGCGCAATATTGTGCTATTGGATATTTCTTGCTATTGCGCAATACTGTGCAATTGAAGATTTCTTGCTATTGCGCAATACTGTGCAATTGAAGATTTCTTGCTATTGTGCAATACTGTGCAATTGAAAATTTCTTGCTATTGCACAATACTTATTATATAATAATTAACACATCTTGTTTGGTGTGTATCTCCTTCCATATCATTATTATTTGCTTTTAAATTTAAATCAGAAATAACCAACTTAAAATGGAAAATTTTAAAAGAAAAAAAAAAAATCCCCCCCCCCCCCCAAAATTTTTTGAACCCCCTTATGATTCATCACCCCCAAACTCAATCCCAGCCTTCCATTTGTGGTATGGTACCTTGCAGTACAATTTCAGAGAGATCCATACACTTGAACACAAGTTATTGTCTGGAAACTAGAAAAATGTGTTTTTTGGCCCCTTTTTGGCCCCAAATTCCTAAACGTTTAGGGCAATTACCCCCAAACTCAAACCCAGCTTTCCCTTTGTGATATGGAACCTTGTAGTACAATTTCAGAAAGATCCATACACTTACACACAAGTTATTGTCCTGAAACTAGAAAAATGCTTGTTTTTTGCCCCTTTTTGGCCCCTAATTCCTAAAATATTGAGGCAATTACCCACATCATCAATCCCAGCCTTCCCTTTGTGGTATGGTACCTTGCAGTACAATTTCAGAGAGATCCATACACTTGAACACAAGTTATTGTCTGGAAACTAGAAAAATGCTTATTTTTGGCCCCTTTTTGGCCCCCAATTCCTTATATATCGGGCAATTACCCCCCAACTCAATTTCAGCTTTCCCTTTGTGATATGGAACCTTGTAGAACAATTTCAGAAATATCCAAACACTTACACACAAGTTATTGTCATGAAACTAGAAAAATGCTTGTTTTTTGCCCCTTTTTTGGCCCCTATTTCCTAAAATTTTGAAGCAATTACCCCAAAATCAATTCCAGCCTTCCCTTTGTGGTATGGAACCTTGTGGTACAATGTCAGAGAGATCCATACACTTACACAGAAGTTATTGTCTGGAAATTACTAAAATGCTTATTTTTGGCCCCTTTTTGGCCCCTAATTCCTTTACTGTTGGTACCATAACCCCCAAAATCAACCCCAACCTTCCTTTTGTGGTATTGAACCTTGTGGTGAAATTTCATAGAGATCCATTCACTTAAACTAAAGTTAGAGTGCGAAAACCAATGTGTCTTCGGACGACGCCACACGACGACCATGACGCCAACGTCATACCAATATACGACCACACAAAAATTTTTTTGCGGTCGTATAAAAAAACAAAAGGGAGCTCACGTCAATAGATATAAACAATTCACCAAAGTTTCATGAAAACTGCTCAAAGCATTTTTGAGTTATTGTCCGAAAACTGGAAAATCCCTCGTTTTTAATGAATAAAACCCCATAACTCGGAAACATACAATCTAATATTTATAATAAAGTGCTGCGCCATGAGCACATGATACGCCCGTCGCCAACTGGACAGTTCTCAACAATTTTTCAACTAAAAAAATTCATCAACGCCACAATGTCATATCAGAAATTTATAAAAAAACAAAAGGGAGCTTATTTCAATAGGTATAAACAAGTCACCAAAGTTTCATGATAACTGCTAAAAGCGTTTTTGAGTTATTGTCCAAAATACTGGAACATCCCCCCTTTTTAATTAATAAAGTCCAATTACTTCAAAATGTAAAATCAGATATTTTCAAAAATCCAAAGGGAACTTATGTCAATATATTTAAACAATTCATCAAAGTTTCATGAAAATTGTATAAAGCATTTATGAGTTATAGTTCGAAAACTGGAAAAATCCTGCATTTTTTATGAATAAAATCCCATAACTCATAAACGAAAATCAAAAATTAATAGAAATCGAAAGGGAGCTTATTTCAATAGATATAAACAATTCACTAAAGTTTCATGATAATTGATGAAAGTGTTTTTGAGTTACTGTCTGACATGTTGACGAAAGGACGGACGGACGGACAACGGTATACCATAATACGTCCCGTAAACGGGCGTATAAAAAATCGAAAGGGAGCTCACATTAATAGATATAAACAATTCACCAAAGTTCCAAGAAAACTGCTCAAAGCATTTTTGAGATCGTCTGAAAACTGGAAAATCCCCCTTTTTTAATGAATAAAACCCCATAACTCGGAAACGTAAAATTTAAAATTTATAAAAATCAAAAGGGAGCTCACGTCAATAGATATAAACAATTCACTAAAGTTTCATGCAAATTGGTCGAAGAGTTTTTGAGTTATTGTCCGACATGTTGACGACGGATGGACAACGGTATACCATAATACGCCCCGTAAACAGGCGTATAATAAACGGGCGTATAAAAACTGTTCAGATATTTATTTTTTCGCAAACACTGTATATATATTTTTGGGTCATTTTGTGGCGATTTACATTTCAAAATAAAGATTACAGATTAAGAAATGATGTCTTACCAAGGCAAACTTCTTTGCATTCATATCTTACACGATAATCACTGCATGGGAATGGAGCATTCAAAGAAGCATCACAGTTTAATCCTTCATCCAATGTACATGTGACCATTTCTCCACTAGCAGAATAGTCTGTACCATCAAGTGTTGCACATTCAATTTTGCTGATTTTGCCAATAGCACAGAATTTGGTCATTTCTTTTGGATGCATAAATTCTGATTCTCCGACTGAATTTGGCTTATGATTGTTTATCCATTCAGACCAGAATGTTCTGTTTTCACATGGTCTTGGTGAGGCTGTTGGTGTGGTCTGCTGGTTCACACCTGGAGTTGGTGTTTGGAGATTGGTTGGTGCAACTGTAAACATAAAAGTACATGTCAGATGTAGGTGAACAAAATGATTTTTTTTAAAGCTTTTAATGTGTTCACATTTGTTAGGCTATATCAAATTTGAGTATAAAGTGCACTTTAATGGTTAATACAAAATAAATTCTCAGTGGTATCTGTTTTTCTTTTTTCAATGATATATAAAATCTTTTTCCAACATCCTGACACCTATTTTTGTAGCTTTGCTATGCAGTGTGGGTTTTGCTTATTGTTGAAGGTTGTACGGTGACCTATAGTTGCTAACTTTTACATCTGTTGGTCACTGGTTGGGGGATGTCTGATTGGCAATCATGCAATTCTTCTTATTTTTATATGCAGTTATGTCTGTAAGACCAAAAGGCTTTACTACGAAATGTTTGTTTGTATAATAAGAATTATTGTTTGGTCAATTAAGGAGCTGTCGGACTGGATCAAAGACCACTTGAACATGTGTACAAAATTAATTAAACAAATAACAGAATGGATGCATGGTTGTGTGTAGCAAGTGATTATTCTACTGATGAAGTAACAAAGAATGTATATTCTTAGCACAAAGGGGTCTAGGTGGCCGAGTAGTCTAAGTAGTCAAACCACTGTATCACTAGCCTGTCAACACAGTTATTTACACTGAGGTTTTGAGTTCGAATCCCGCACGAGGCAGGAGCGCTCGACTCCAATCTTAATTCACTATCTTAATTGACTAGGATTGTCAGTTTTCCTACTGAAGATTGGTTGTTCTCACCGGCCACTCCGGCTTCCTCTGCCAATAAAAACTGACTGTCACAAAATAGCACAACAGTGCTAAGAGTGGCGCTTAACTCCAATCAATCAATCAATCAATTAATCTTTGCATAAACATTACCATAAAATATTATATTGATAAGAAAAGCTTAGATGTTTGATTCAAAAGTTATCCAAGTCCATACAAATGCATTCCTATGATATTAGGCAGATCTTTCGTATCTAGGGAACAGTATAAATATATTTATTTAAGGTTAAATGAATATAAGCCATACTTATTAAAGTTATATGTTTCAAGTCATCTTTTTCAACCTGCTGCAATGTTAATACTAGGCACGATCATTCATCTTTTGATGGGGGCATGACTTTTTCCTGGGACAAACAGTTTTGTTTTCAACTTAATTGAAATAAACAATGTTTTTCAACATCATACAAGAACAAGATTTTTTTTAAACTGTTTTGTATTTTTGAACCAACAGCATAACCACATCTAGAACAAGGAAATTAATTTAAAGCATGTGGTCCAAATTTGCTCGCAGTGGAAATTTAGGAAGCAACAGCTTTAATACTATGGATTTAAATTGAAATAATTGTTATAATTTACACAACATTACTTTTTTCCAATATAAACATTCTAATGGTTTATTTTTATTGTATCTTATTTTGATTTTTTTAATTTATTCATTCATTTTTAATGTTTGTTTTTGATTCACAATATCTTTACAAAGACCAAATTGTGACTTCGAGATCAATATCAACAATAAAAGCGCTGTTCCTTTTCTTTTATCTGTTGTTAATTTAACTCAGTTATTTTGTGATATTAATGTCATCTGGTATGCTTTTAAATATGAAGAAAGGGGGGATTCAGTAATGGCTTTAAAGTCAATGAGGCATGAACAAACAACAAAAAATCAAAAATGGGCAACATACATTCTTCAACAATAGAATTGTTTTACATGAACGTAACTTTTGTAAGTAAAAGAACCAGATTCGACGAGTACTGCAGTTTGATTTATGACTAACTATCTTTGGTCAAAGAGACAAATAGAGGCTCTAAAGAGCCTGTGTTGCTCACCTTGGTCTATGTACATATTCAACAAAAGACACTCTCCAACATTATAGACTATAATAGAATTCATGACAAAAATCTCTGTTTTGCTGATCATTTAGTCTGTTTAGTTTCTCTCTATCTTCTAAAGTTTTTGCCCAAAACACAAAAGAGGGTAAAAAAAATCCTCATTTAAGGACAATCACTCCTATAAAGAGTGACAGTCTACTTACTATATCAGCAAAATCTTACTTGTTAATAGATCTTGACTTGCTGATCATTTTTGTGATTTAAAGTGTATAATTATCTATTATAATTTTTATCAATTTTCAGGTCTTGCAATAGTTACTGAAGACCCCTTATCATTATTTAAATTAGTTTTCAAGTTGTGACCATTTGAAACTGTTTTTTTTACAATTTTCCCTTAGACTTCTATTTTAGCCATGGCGGCCATGTTGGTTGGATGACAGGGTCATCCGATACATTTTTTTCAAACAAGATACCCTATTGAAAATTGTGGCTAAATTTAATTCTATTTGGCCCAGTAGATTAGGTAGAGAAGATTTTTGTAAAAGATTACAAAAATTTACGAAAAAATTGACTATAAAGGGCAATAACTCTTTAAGGGGTCATATTGACTTATTTGTGATCGTACTTTGCTGAACATTATTGCTGTTTATAGTTTATCTCTATCTATAATAATATTTAAGATAAAAACAAAAAACTGCAAAATTTTCTTAAAATTACCAATTCAGGGGCAGCAACGTTAACCCAACAACGGGTTTTCTGATGTGTCTGCAAATTTCAGTGCAGATAGATCTTGACCTGATGAACATTTTTACCCCATGTCAGATTTGCTCTAAATGCTTTAATTTCAGAGATATAAGCCATATTCTATTTTTAGCCATGGCGACCATCTTGGTTGATGACCAGGGTCATCGGATACATTTTTTGAACTAGATACCCTAAGGATGATTTAGGCCAAGTTTGGTTGTATTTGGCCCAGTAGCTTCAGAGGAGAAGATTTTTGTAAAAGTTAACCGACGACGACAGACGCCAAGTGATGAGAAAAGCTCACTTGGCCCTTTTGGGCCAGGTGAGCTAAAAAATTGGTAAAATTTGTCATTTAAGGGTAATAACTCCTATAAGGAATCGTCTGCCAGTTTTGAAGTATATGGACAATTGGTAGAGCTCATTATTCTGAACATTTCTGCCTTGTCAGATTTTCTCTATTTATAATGGTTTTCAAAATAGTAGACAAAAGTTGCATTTTACCCCTATGTTCTATTTTTAGCAATGGCGGCCATTTTGGTTGGCAGGCAGGGTCATCGGACACATTTTGTAAACTAGATACTCCAGTAATGATGGTGGCCAAGTATGGTTAAATTTGGCCCAGTAGTTTCAGAGGAGAAGATTTTTGTAAAAGAGAAAAGCTCACTTAGCCTATTGGCCCAGGTGAGCTAAAAAGGATCAAACACACTTGTAAGGGTTTCCCCTTTATATAAAAGCCTTATGCAAACAGAAAAGTCTTTTAGTTATTTACATACACCTACAGATATATACATAAATAGAGGCAATTAAGTTGTGAAGTACTTGAATATCCAAGGCAATCTGATCATATTAGTCTTCTATATGACTGAATGATTCAAATGGTGATCCATGCGAAAATATTCAGTCTCAAGGAAGAAAACTTTTTTTTTCATTGTCCAGAGCTCTTTTTACAAACAAATATTAAGCATTGAATAAATGGTAGGTTACTCTTAAATGATCCCTATGTGGGACTATTTTTTTCTAGTAAGATATTTTGTAAAATAATCCCATCAACTTAAAGTTTTGTATATGTAGTTTTCGATTATTTGATGATATTTGCTCTGAACATTTATGATTCTTTAAACTGAAACTGTTGGGTGTGCTGATATAAAGAATATTTAAAACAAATTCTTTTAAAATTTTGTGAAAAGAAAGTTTCATTTTATGTATTGAAATGTGTAACAAGTGATTATTTAAATCCCAACTGGAAGGCCTCTGACAGACTGTGTGAGCATGAAATTATTGTTATCGAAAGCTGATGAAAAAAAAGTTAAAGGTAAATGATTCAGTATTATTAATTAGATATGTATTGCCGTTGTCCACACTGTTACAGTTTTACCTCTCTATCTAGACACAGAAATATATGATGCAACAACTTTTCATTGATGTGATGTAAAACTAGAGGCTCTCAAGAGCCTGTGTCGCTCACCTGATTCTACATTGTTTTTAGAAATCATGTAAAAATAGATTAAAATCATAACAGATACTCTAATAATGAGTGAGGCCAAATTTGGTTTAATATTGGTCCTGTAATTTAATAAAAAATCCTGGTGGCCATCTTGAACAGTAAATCGGCAACAAAGTAGCAACACTTTATCAGCACCTCATAAGAAACATTTATGCCATGCTTGGTTTCATTCCATTCAGTGCACCTCTAGAAGAAGCATTTGTATGTATTTCCCATAGGGTCTTATGTTAAACTAAGTCCCCCGCTGGCGGCCATCTTGGATGATGGATCAGCTTCAAAGTAACAACACTTGGTCAGCACCTCATAAGGAACATTCATGTCATGTTTGGTTTCATTCTATTCAGTGGTTCTCTAAAAGAAGACATTTGTATGTATTTCCCATTGGGTCCTATGTTAAACTAAGTCCCCCGCTGGCGGCCATCTTGGATTATGGATTGGCTTCATAGTAACAACACTTGGTCAGCACCTCATAAGGAACATTCATGCCATGTTTGGTTTCATTCCATTCAGTGGTTCTCTAAAAGAAGACATTTGTATGTATTTCCCATAGGGTCCTATGTTAAATTACCCCCCCCCCCCCCCCATGTCGGCCATCTTGAATTATGGATCGGCTTCAAAGTAACAACACTCCGTCAGCACCTCATAAGGAACATTCATGTCATGTTTGGTTTCAATCCATTCAGTGGTTCTCTAAAAGAAGACATTTGTATGTATTTCCCATAGGGTCCTATATTAAACTAAGTCCCCCGCTGGCGGCCATCTTGAATGATGTATCAGCTTCAAAGTAACAACACTTGGTCAGCACCTCATAAGGCACATTCATGTCATGTTTGGTTTTATTCCATTCAGTGGTTCTCTAAAAGAAGACATTTGTATGTATTTCCCATAGGGTCCTATGTTAAACTAAGTCCCTCGCTGGCGGCC